GAATTATTTGAAAAAACTCAATTCTTCCCCCTCTTGGTTCTTCTTGCAGCCTCTTCAAAACCAACATAGTCTCTTCATCTAAAAATTATATTTTACCCATAGACACATGAGTAAAAAATATGTTGACTATTGATCATTAATGTACCCAAGAAATACTAATTTTTGTCAAGATGGGAGTAAGGAATATGATTGAATGTTTTCATAAATAAAGAAAAATGTAAATTATTTTACTTCTTTACTTTTTCCATCCAAGTCACTATATAGAGTTATGTTGACTAAAACAATGTTAATTCACAATTTTAGCTCACATATATAATGACAAACTTGTGTGATTTTCAAACATTCAACACACCAGCCTAGTTTTAATTATTTCCTTAATGGCCTCATTTTTTGTGAAGCTATTGTTTTAGTTTTTCAGTACATTAGTTTTCAAATATCTTATGATGATATTTATTCTATGATTGAATAATCTAAGTTGTAACTAAACAAAAAATTATCATTATTGATAGAATTTAGAGGGATATATTATATATTATGACTGATAAGTACACATAATGCTGCTGCCTTTTCCCTTTTGATTCTACTAGCACCATTTTGATCTCTTGTTGTCAAACATTAGATAGCTTTCACTATCTACCTTTATATAAATAAAATATGTTTTAAAGGCCTAGTTTGTGGTTGACCTCATTTAAGATCAACTATGCACAACTTGATAATTTAAGTCATATAATTTATTAAAAAATATTCGTAAAAACTTGTTAACTAAGAGCATGGTCATAGAATTTTTTTTTTGATTATACACTGAAAAGTTGTTTAATCCATGAACCATAGATGTGATTTACATTATGTAAAAATAGATAAACCATCGTATCATTACTTGGAATCACAACATCTATCTTTTATTTTGTATATGATTTAGGACAATCCTTCATGTGAGGCTAAAGTTTCTAATTTTAACAAGAAAAAATATTATTTAGTTTGGATTTTAATTTGATTTATTGATTCTAATTTTTTCTATTTAGAATTTTCCATTTTCTTGTTTTTTCCTCTTTTGGACTCAACCAAATACTTGCACAAATCTTACATGGATTTCATCGTTAATAAAAAGTTAATGACATTTTTTTTCTTAGGATTATTACTATAATTAAAATCTTATGAGCACAAACTTAAAATAAAATATTTAGTATGGTCATCAAAATTTAGACTATAATATTTTAAGTGATTCCATTATGTGTAAAATGATTGAAATGATCTATTGAATGATTGAAATTGGACATTCTCATATGAAATAACATTTTCAAAATAGAAAAACTTCGAAATGGATAACTATAATTGGAGTTGAAGGTTTTACATAAATTTTTGTTAGTGTCACCAACAACCTCATGGGAGTATTCAACTTAAGAATATTGAATCTCACTTCATTCATTATAAATCAAAAAATCTTACTATGTTGTATTCATTGCCTCTCATCTTGGAACTTGTATCATCTTTAATTATATTTCATAGTGGTTTGAGATTCCTTAATTATTCTATCATTTTAAAGCCTTGTTACTAAGCTTTAGTAACCTCTAGTTAGTGCAACAAATGAATATTAAGACATCAACTCATCTCTTATAATCTTATATCTAGGTCAGCCCAAGCATGTATATCACTTTTTTATTATTAGCTCTAAGTGGGCTTTAGTACATGTAATAATCCTAGTGATCCCCTTCTATGACTAACAACTTCATCCAAGTGTAAGTAATAATACTAAATCATAACTCTCAATTCAAAGTTTCTTTGATTATGAGCATTACACTTTCCCAAGAGAAAATGAGTGATTTTGGTGCAACAACAAGAATATAGCAAATGTTCATGAATTTCATGTGAATTTTTTAGATGATTTGCATTGAATAATGTGGTTAGTCCTTTCATACATATTTTTTTTCCAATTCTGAAAGTATTGAGTATTTGTCATCAATCTAGCATAATAATTTCAATTGATAGTTGTGCACACCAAACTAGTAGTCTGGGGTATAGTTATACTTTGACATTTTATTTATTTTTTCACAGAATGACTTCATTACTATTACTATAATAGATAACTCTTTACATGGAGTGATTTGACTTATTTATTTAAACTAAAAGTATGGACAATTTTATTCTTCATTTTTTTCTCATATGTCTCAACAAAGGATTGGTACACTAGAGTCATTTAATATTTTTATATCATAATTTGGCATTGTAAAATTATCATTATGTCCTTTTGTCTATTTTGTCAACTTGATGACAAAAATAATCTTAAAAAATCTAACATTATATATTAGACTCATTGAAAAGTAATCTAATTTCTAGGTTTCTATATATTTTTATATAAAATTGGAATATATTAAGTATAACTAATATTAAATATGTAATTTTAAAACTTGAAAAATATGGAAGAAAAAGTGCATCATCATCATCATTGTCTGCTTCTACAACTTATATTTTTTGATTTTGAAATAATAGTTACATCTCTTTTCTCTTTTGTGATCTATATTAAAAATAAATCTCATTATTAGTTAACATAATGACATTTTTTCTTTTTGTATCATTAATATATATTTTTTCAAACCAACATGATCTAAAATTAATCCTCTTTAATTTTGATTCTATAGTTCTCTTCATCATATCTCTTTGTTGATGTTACTCCCATAACACTACATGTTATGACCAACATGGTGGTTTTGTCATGCCTAACCATATTCTAATGTTTAAAAATCTTGTGGTATATAGAAGGATATAATACAAGATGTACACATAATCGACAATGAACCACATGCTATCACATGGATAATTAATTCGACAAAAATATAAAATTAAAATATTTTTAAAAATTTATTGTGTTATTTAATTAATTAGAATTGACTAATATTAAATGGATCTCAATTTCAAAGTAATTATTGAATTTTACTTAAATGAAATTTTATTGATGTTTTATATTAACCTTAATTAAAATATATTCGGCAAAAACCATAGAGGGGTTTCATACCATTAACTACAATGAAGATAGAACTTTAGAAGTATATTATTTTAATGATGTAGGAAGCAAGGGTTAGATAATTTTGGACATAAATAACCTAAAATATAATTATGATGGACATCTACTAGTTCTATTTATGAAGGACAACTCAACATTGCAATACATTTTAGCAATAACTTTTCAAAAAAATCATTGACCATATAACTATTGTCGCTCATCAACAAACTTTTTATTGTTAAAAATTGTAAGTTATGACACTTTTCATAACAATAATAGTAACCCATATAAATATATTCTTATTCATCCTTGTAAAGGACCGTACTAGAATTATTCAATACATTCTTATTTCTCTCTATTTTTTTATACGGCATTAGAATGTATCATTCAAAATTCAATGGCGGGAGAAGCAAATGTAACATCATTGACCACACAAGTCACAACACCATTAGTCATAATGTCTCTTCTTCTAATAAAACTCTCATATGACAATTATCTATTATAGAAAACTTAATTTGTGATTTGCATAAGAGTCAAGGACATTGATAAGTCTTCATTATCATGAGTTAATAATTAGTAAATAATATAGTTTTAGCCTTAACTCATGATAAATAGACTTATATTTGTGTTAAAGCATGAAAAGTGGTTTTCAGTTGATTAATGTGAATTTTTGGGTAATTATGTGATTTTATACGATTTTTACAGTCTTAGTTTTGAGATAAATGAAGAACAAGAAATAAAAATAAAAATATTGCAAAATGGGGGGACCCGCCGGGAGACGAGTCGCCACCTCCTGAGAGCGTACCAGATGCGATGAAGAGCCTCCCCTTGCTGCGCGGACCTAAGGATGAAGCTCCCTGACACGCGCCCCACCTCCATCCAGCTCCTCTCCGTCGGGTGACAGCCGCCGGAGAACCGCAAAGTCGCCGTTTTTCCGCTCCGCCGGGTGACAGCCGCCGGAGACGACTCGACGACCCACTTCATTGATCTCTAGACTTCGCGAGAAGATCTAGAGATTGCCCACGTCGTCTTTGTCCAAGGAGAGCCTTTGAGGCCGTGGACACTGCACGACGATCCTCCCGAACGCTCAGGATTCCGGTGCATCGCCGACGCATCGCCGTCGCGACGCCGGAACTTTGGTTTCCTGCTTTCAATTTAATTTACGCTTTATTTAGTGATACTTTGTGTGATTTTAATTAACCAAACTATACTTCGTTCAATTACGATTCTTCGGCTTTTACAGATCTTAATTTGATTAATTAAATCGTCTGTAATCGCTTACGTAAGAATCGCCGGGCGGAACTCTGTTTCCGCCCGATTCGCGTTCGCCGGGCGCTGACGTCATCCTGTCATCCGCACCCTTATTTCCTCTTTTTTTTCGTGAATTTTAAATATATTTCCTTTTCATTTCCTAGTATAAAATTCATAGAAAATCGTATTCATTGAGAAAAACTCTGAATAATTACAAAATATTATATTACATCCCTGTGATCGACCTGGGAAATTACCGCTATTTTTGGAACTTTTATTGAATTATAATTGATATATTTATTTATAAATACTTCTAAATATCCGGAAATTCGTATTTTCTAGTTTTATAAATTTTAGATTTGCGTGATTTAATATACAACGACTGAGTCACGTCAAATTTTGGCGCCGTTGCCGGGGATGTATTGCATAATATTTAGTATTTTTCTATTTTTCTCTTAGAGTACACAAAAAAAAAAAAAAAAAAACTTAACTCTTGTTTTATTTTCTTTTTGCCGATTTTTATTAGAAAAAAGGGAACGAAAAGAAGCACGGCAAGGACTGGAGCATCCTGAAGGAGGGTAACAGTTACTAACTTTTTCCCTCGAATTTATTGATTTTTATGCATGGTAGAAGATCCTTGCATCCAAGGCTAGAAAATCCTTTCATTATTTCATTCAAAAAGAAAAATCCGAAAGAAAAATTAATTTTGATGGATCCTGAAGGAAGTACAGGTCAAACTGAGAACAATCCTATGGCCATGAAAAATCATTATATCCCTGATTCATTTCAAAGAGCATCCAATATTAGAGTCCCATTAGCACCCACTGTTAAATTCGAAATAAATCCAGGAATTTTTCAAATGCTCCCTAATTTTCATGGATTGCCTTTAGAGGAACCTCATCAGCACTTGGAAAAATTTCATATGGTCTGTGATTTAGTTAATCTCCCTCAAGTTACACCGGAAATTATTAAGATGAAATTATTCCCTCATACACTTAGGGACAAAGCTAGTCATTGGCTATCCACATTAGATAGAGAATTAACTAGCTGGAAAGATATAGAACAGGCCTTTCTTCGAAAATTTTATCCCTTAGGAAAAACTCAAAATATGAGAAAACATATATGGAGTTTTTCTCAAAGACCAGGAGAAACTTTGCATGAGACATGGGAAAAATTTAAAGATTTACTTAGAAAGTGTCCTCATCATGCTATACCCAAGTGGCAGCTCAATAGAATTTTTTATGATAGATTATTAGAACAACATAGAAATATGGTTGATTCTATATGTGGAGGAGCTTTTATGGAGAAAACTCCTGATGAGATTTACAGTCTTTATGAGAATTTAAGTGAAAATTCTAGAGATCAAGCCTCTTTTGAATTATATGACAGGGATAAGAAGAGAGGAATTTATGAATTGCATCATGATGATGATTCTAAACTTAGAAATGAGGTTAATCAGATTAATCAAATATTAGAAAAAATTGATTTACTTATTGACAATATTAGAAAGCCTTTTAACCCTCAACTTAATTCGAATAGTACATGTCCTATGTATGGTGAAAACGATTATTCTGAATTTCAATGTTATAATTTAGATCAATCATTTCACCCTATGCAAGAACAAGTGCAAGTAGCTCACGGTTTTAATAGAAACAGGGAACCTTTTTCAAATTTTTATAATCCTAATTGGAGGAATAGTTTTTCATGGAGAGACCCAAATAATATTCAAAATCCAGAAGCACTTAGACCCAATTCAAACTCTGAATTTCGTCCAAAACAAGAAAATAGATTTCAGAAAAATCAGTCCTCTCAAATCCAACCTGATGCTATGGAAATGATGCAGCAAATGAGCCAAATGATGCAACAAACTATGAACTAAATGATGCTGCACCAGAAACAAATTATAGAGGCTCTTGGGAATAAGAGAGAAGAGGGACAGCTACCTAGTCAGCCCATAGAAAATCCAGGGAACCGCCCAACAATAGGATTTCAGCAAGGGGAGTCTAGTAGCATGAATCTAGGAAAAAACCCACGAAATGAAAATGTTAGGACAGTGAATGCATTAAGGAGTGGTAAGATCTTAGCTGATCCTTATCCCCAAATATTAGAAGAAAAAGAAAACGTGGACAACCCAAAACAAAATCAAATAGGAGTAGAAGAGGATTTTATAGATTCTACCAAGGAAATTTCGAAAGAGAGGACAACCATTCCATTTCCTAAAGCTCTAGAGCCTAGACAAAGAAAGAAAAAGGAACACAATGAAGAAATAAAGAAAATTTTACAAGATGTGCAAATTAGTCTTCCTTTACTTACTGCCATTGAACATATTCCTGAATATGCTAGAGTTTTGAAAGAAATGTGTACACCAAAAAGGGCACCTAGAGTAGAAAAATTATCTATGCATGCTAGTGCATTATTATTAAATCAATTACCATATAAATTGAGAGATACAGGTGCCCCTTTGATTTCGTGTGATATTGGTGGATTCATTTTTCAGAATGCATTACTTGACACCGGTGCTAGCATTAATTTATTACCTGCAAGTATTTGTGATAAATTTAATATTTCTGATCTTAAACCTTCTACTGTTACCTTACAATTTGCTGATAGATCCATAAAACATCCTAAAGGTATTTTAGAAAATGTGATAGTGACAGTTAAAGGGTGTAAATTTCCAGCTGATTTTTGTAGTACTGGAAATGGATTTTAATGGACAGTTTTATGATACACCAATCATCTTAGGGAGACCATTTTTGCATACAGCAAAGATGAATATTGATTTTCCCACAGGTATTGCGAAAATTTCATGTGGAGATCAATCAGTAGAAATTAAAATTTTTAAGATATCAAATGATATTAAGAAATCCCAAGTATATGATTGTCATACCATAGATCTTCTAGATGATTTTGATGATCCAGATGTTATTGATGACTGTGTGCTGAAAGAATTAGAGGAAATAGAGAATATAAATTTAGAAGAAAAGAAAGAGGAAGATCATCTGAATTTAGAGTTGAAACCTCTTCCCTCTAGTTTAAAATATATGTTTTTGGAGGAAAATAATTCATTTCCTGTTATTATTGCAGCTGATTTGAGTGATGAACAGGAAGAAGAATTATTAGATGTACTTCGAAAAAATAAGAAAGCTATGGGCTGGAAAATGGACGATCTAAGGGGCATTGATATGAGTGTATGCATGCATAGTATATATTTAGAGGAGGGGGCTAGAACTAGTAGGGAACCACAACGAAGATTAAATCCTAACATGATGGAAATTGTAAAAAAGGAAATTTTAAAGTGGCTGGCTGCTGATATTATTTATCCTATTTTAGATAGCAAATGGGTTAGTCCTACACAAGTAGTGCCAAAAAAATCAGGGATTACGGTTATAAAAAACGAAAATAGGGATGAAATACAAACAAGACTAACTACCGGTTGGAGAGTTTGCATTGATTATAGAAAATTAAATTCAGTTACTAGAAAAGATCATTTTCCCCTACCATTTACTGATCAAATTCTAGAAAAATTAGCTGGAAAAACTTTTTTTGTTTTCTGGATGGATACTCTGGTTATAATCAAATTTATATAAACCCTTTAGATCAAGAAAAAACAACTTTCACTTGTCCATTTGGTACTTTTGCTTTTAAACGCATGCCTTTTGGTCTGTGTAATGCTCCAGCCACATTTCAAAGATGTATGCTGTCTATTTTTTCTGATATGATTGGAAAATGCATGGAAATTTTTATGGACGATTTTTCTGTTTTTGGCGAATCATTTGATGAATGCTTAAATCATTTACAGCATGTACTTGAGAAATGCATAGAGAAAAAATTAGTTTTGAGTTGGGAGAAATCACATTTTATGGTTAAAGAGGGAGTTGTGTTGGGTCATATTGTGAGTAAAAGGGGTTTAGAGGTGGATAGAGCAAAAATTGATATTATATCTAAAATGAAACCTCCAAATTCAGTAAAACAGATTAAATCTTTCTTGGGTCATGCAGGTTATTACAGAAAATTTATTCAAGATTTTTCGAAGATTTCTAAACCTCTCACCATGCTATTATCTAAAGATATGCCTTTTAATTTTGATGAGAAATGTTTTGAGTCTTTTTCCGTAATAAAAAGATTACTTACTGAGGCACCCATTTTACAAGCTCTTGATTGGTCCCTTCCCTTTGAAATAATGTGTGATGCATCGAATTATGCAGTGGGGGCCGTTCTAGGACAAACAAAAGAGTCAAAACCCATAGTAATTTCATATGCTAGTAAAACTATATCCGATGCTCAATTAAATTATACCACGACTGAAAAAGAGTTGTTAGCTGTAGTATTTTCGTTAGAAAGGTTTAGATCATATATTTTGGGAGCTAAAATTATTATTTATACTGATCATGTAGCATTAAAATATATGTTAAATAAGAAAGATGCAAAGCCACGTTTATTAAGATGGATTTTATTGTTGCAGGAATTTGACTTAGAAATAAAAGATAAAAAAGGTTTCAAGAATGCTGTTGCTGACCATCTTTCTAGATTAAGTGACACAGGAATAAATGCAGCACCTTTACAAGACGCATTTCCAGATGAACAATTAATGGCAGCTCAACATCAACCATCACCATGGTATGCACATATTGTTAATTTTCTGGTTTCTGGAAAAACTCCAGAACAGTGGGATAAGAACAGAAAAAATCATTTCTTTTCTAAGATTAGAAATTATTTTTGGCATGATCCTGATTTATATTACTTGGGCAATGATCAAATTTTAAGGAGATGTGTTCCTGAAGAAGAATACCATAGCATTATTAACATGTGCCATTCATCTAACTGTGGAGGACACTTCTCTGGACGAAAAACAGCTGCAAAAAATTTTCAGTGTGGTTTTTATTGGCCTACAATCATTAGAGATTCTATAGAATTTAGTAGAACATGTATTTCATGCCAATCTATAAGTAACATGAGTAAAAAAGATGAAATGCCCATGAGTAACATGTTAGTAGTCGAAATTTTTGATGTATGGGGAATAGATTTCATGGGTCCCTTCCCATCAGCTGAAAAATATGAATATATTTTGCTTGCTGTTGATTATGTGTCGAAGTGGGTGGAAGCTATTCCTACTAGAACTAATGATCATAAAATCGTGATGAAATTTGTGTAGGAAAATATTTTTTCGAGATTTGGATGTCCTAGAGTGATTATTAGTGATGGAGGAACACATTTTACAAATAAAAATTTCAGAGAACTGTTGAAAAAGAATGGAGTACACCATAGAGTAGCCACTCCATATCATCCCCAAACAAATGGGCAAGCTGAAGTAGCAAATAGGGAAATTCAGAGAATTTTGAGAAAAATAGTTAGACCAGATAGGAAAGATTGGCCCACGAAATTACAAGATGCATTATGGGCTTATAGAACAGCTTATAAAAATCCCATAGGTATGTCCCCATTTCGTCTCATTTTTGGAAAGCCATGTCATCTTCCTGTGGAAATAGAGCATAAAGCATTATGGGCTATAAAAAAGTTATGTATGGATGAAAAATCAGCTGGTGGGCATAGAATTTTTCAGTTACATGAACTAGAGGAGTTGAGGAATGAAGCTTATGAAAATCATAGAATATATAAAGAAAAAACTAAAACTTTTCATGATAAATACATTAGCAGAAAAAAATTTGATGTTGGACAAAAAGTGTGGTTATATGATTCTAGGCTGAAATTATTCCCAGGAAAATTAAAATCAAAATGGAAAGGGCCTTATGTGGTGGAAGAGACATTTGATCATGGGGCTGTAATGATTAAAGATCCTAAAAGTGATCATAACTTTAAGGTAAATGGACAGCGGCTTAAACATTACATAGAACATGAACGCCTTGTAGAAAAAGAAATTTTATTATTAAAAGAAATTCAAGAGTAAGATCAAGGAGTCCAGCTGGAGACATTAAATTCAGCGCTGCATGGGAGGCAACCCATGGTTTTTATTTCATTCTGTTTGATTTTTTTTAAGCTCTGTTTTTCTTAGAATTTTGCAGTACTTGTTTCTGTATTTGTTTTTTTTCGAAGAAGTGCAGGAGGAGGTGTGTAAGATGAAGTGGAAAATTAAAAACGAGGTTGAGGTGATGTCTTTCTGAGCTTTATCATTTATGACAATATTTTTAATGCTTAACTTTGCATATTTGCATGCTTTACTTGAAAATTATATTTTCTGCATATTCTGTTTCGATTTTTTTTTTTTTTTGTGTCATTGAGGACAATGTCATTTTTAAGTCGGGGGGGAAGTATTCATTATTAATTTATGCTGTAGGACGATTAAGAACATGTGTTTGCATTTTATTCAACTTAGAACAGCAACTAAAAAAATAAAAAAAAATCGTCGAATTCGGAAAAACTGCAACATCTATTTTCTGGTTTTCTGTCAGGAACAACAGACTGTTAAAAACAGCAGATGAAAAAACAACCCGAAATTTGAAATTATAGAGACCCTTTTCTCACATTTCAATCCCCTAGACATATATTACTGAAATTCGAAATTACAACTATAAAGAAGATAGTTTTGATTTATTTTTGACAAATTTATTGCTGCTAAAATAGAACTGAAAACAGAAAACAGAACTGTCAAAACTATCTAATTTACAAATTCCTTACATCATATTGCATGCATGAAAAATTAAATCAATTAGATTGATTGATACCAAAAGATACTAGGAAGATTATTATTGAGTCAAAAGAATGATCTAGTAGCATGAAATGTTGGAATACTCCTTGGATACATGATAGATAACATGGATTTGATTTTACAAATTTTCACTTCATGATCTTGATGGATAATATTTACTTGATGTGAAAATTTGATTGATCATTTGAGTTTAATGGAGATTTTTGCACCCTGATCTATAGGACTTGTGAGGAGAAATCACTTATTTCGAAAAAAAAAAAAGAGAGAGCAATGTGAAAAATCTAGAAACGAAGAGTACACATGGAGGGTGTGAGACATCATTCTCATTGTCGAAAATCGTGCATAGAAAAACACTTGCTGAAAAATAAGTGGATAAAGTGAAAGCCCTGAAAATGAAGAGTACACATGGAGGGTGTGAGACATCATTCTTATTGTCAAAATTTGTCTACAGGAAAAGCTACTTATCCACTATATATATAAAAAAAAAAAAAGAAGGAAGAAATATAGTGCAAACTTCAAAAATCAAGTCATAGAAAAAGGGAAATGTAAGATCAATATTATTCTTGGATGAGTATTGATAATTGGAACATCTTGTAAATACATCTATGAGTGAAGAAGTGATAAAGAAGTGAAGTCTAGATTGTTATTCCAAGGAGTGTTTAAACATTTAAGTGCTTGACATCATTCTTAAATACTTGATATAAGAATCCAAAGTGTTTAAAGGTGCATCATTTCTAATTGTATTTCTTTTCTGTATTGAAATATGATGTTTGAGATTTGTAAATTTTTATTTTTGTAATTCCATTGCTAAGGGACTAGCAATGATTTAAGTTGGGGGGTGTGATAAGTCTTCATTATCATGAGTTAATAATTAGTAAATAATATAGTTTTAGCCTTAACTCATGATAAATAGACTTATATTTGTGTTAAAGCATGAAGAGTGGTTTTCAGTTGATTAACGTGAATTTTTGGGTAATTATGTGATTTTATACGATTTTTACAGTCTTAGTTTTGAGATAAATGAAGAACAAGAAATAAAAATAAAAATATTGCAAAATGGGGGGACCCGCCGGGAGACGAGTCGCCACCTCCTGAGAGCGTACCAGATGCGATGAAGAGCCTCCCCTTGCTGCGCGGACCTAAGGATGAAGCTCCCTGACACGCGCCCCACCTCCATCCAGCTCCTCTCCGTCGGGTGACAGCCGCCGGAGAACCGCAAAGTCGCCGTTTTTCCGCTCCGCCGGGTGACAGCCGCCGGAGACGACTCGACGACCCACTTCATTGATCTCTAGACTTCGCGAGAAGATCTAGAGATTGCCCACGTCGTCTTTGTCCAAGGAGAGCCTTTGAGGCCGTGGACACTGCACGACGATCCTCCCGAACGCTCAGGATTCCGTGCATCGCCGACGCATCGCCGTCGCGACGCCGGAACTTTGGTTTCCTACTTTCAATTTAATTTACGCTTTATTTAGTGATACTTTGTGTGATTTTAATTAACCAAACTATACTTCGTTCAATTACGATTCTTCTGGCTTTTACAGATCTTAATTTGATTAATTAAATCGTATGTAATCGCTTACGTAAGAATCGCCGGGCGGAACTCTGTTTCCGCCCGATTCGCGTTCGCCGGGCGCTGACGTCATCCTGTCGTCCGCACCCTTATTTCCTCTTTTTTTTCGTGAATTTTAAATATATTTCCTTTTCATTTCCTAGTATAAAATTCATAGAAAATCGTATTCATTGAGAAAAACTCTGAATAATTACAAAATATTATATTACATCCCTGTGATCGACCTGGGAAATTACCGCTATTTTTGGAACTTTTATTGAATTATAATTGATATATTTATTTATAAATACTTCTAAATATCCGGAAATTCGTATTTTCTAGTTTTATAAATTTTAGATTTGCGTGATTTAATATACAACGACTGAGTCACGTCAGACATCTATATTAGTTGATGGCTCCAGTACACTCTCTAACAAACAAGAATAAAAAAAATAGATTCTAAAGTAAATCTTGAGTTTATTTTGTGATAACATAATGATTAAATTATATTTTCTTAGATCCTATTTTCTCTTATAGAGATTGCATATCTGATCATTGTTGGTTATAATACGTCAAAAGATATTTGAACTATTCTAACATGATAATTTCTATCAAAAACAAAATCTCAGATTCTCAATTGACATCACAATTACATGTTGCTCAACATGTGACATTTTCTTTTCAAGATTATATTTGTTATGTGAAACAAATTGTTAATGAGCTTGTAGTTGGATAACCAGTTAATGATCAAGATTTGATCATGATTATTCTACGAGGTCTTGGACCCAATTATTAAGCCTTCACCACAAGCATAACAACCCATTTATATGTTCTTATGTTAGATGATGTTCTTGAGCATATAACTGCCCATGAAACAATCAATGCCCGATATAATATTACACTTCAAAATTCATAGCAATATATTTTAACTAATTATACACAAATGAACTTATGTTAAGAGCATAATATCAATTTCAATATGCAAGAAATCTTACTTTTACATGAGAAAAAATTAGACTTATCAAACACATAACATGTCAAGCCCTAGAAGAAGAACTTTATGTTGTCAAATATGCCTTCAATTTGGCCATCATATACATGAATGTTGTGAACATTTCAATAAGAATTTCACTATTAGAGCCTCAAACAATCAACAAATACATTTTTCATAACCATATAATGATGATTTCCCTCATGCTTATATCATGACATACAATTCAACACCAATTACATTATTGATGAAAATAATATCATTCTATCTTGATAGCACAACGACTCATAGTGACATGTTTGATCGAAATAACATCATTGATCCAACACTCTATGTTGGACCACATTAACTCTATGTTGGTAACCACACATATTTGTGCATTTAATCTCATAGCATTTGTCAACTTAAAATTTTATTATATTTCTTATGATTAAATAATATATTATATGTGTCTAATATAATTAAAAATTTACTATTGTAAGTAAACTTATTACCAATAATAATATTTATCTTGAATTTCATCCAACATATTGCCTTGTGAAGAATCGGAGAACAAGAAAAACTCTACTCACCAATTAACACAAAGATGATCTTTATCACTTTACAGCATCATTCGATGAACCTTTAGTACTTCTTAACAAATATGCATATGATTTGCCTACTACACATCTTCCTCAATCTACTATTTGTGAGTTATGTTGTCTAAGGCTCACAAATTATCTTTTAAAAATCTAATCATACTTCATCTAAATGATTTGAACTTATTTATTTTGATTTATGGGGACCTTCTCGAGTCTTAACACATTATGTCTTTTCATATTATGTCATATATGTAAATAAGTATAATAAGTATGCATGACTATAGCTCTTAAAATATAAAAGTGATTTGCTACCAACACTTATAAAATTTCAACAATATGTTGAATGAATAATATGAAGATTTTTTTACAATATGACTAGGAAAATAAATATCAATCACTATGTACACAAATAAAATATGTATTGCTCAAGAAAATAGGAGGGGTACATGTCTCCCTATATATATAGAGAGAGGAAGACGAAGAGCCAAGTGAGGAGTCAAATACTAAGGGACATAAGAATGTTATGAAATAGAGGGTGAAGAAGGTGAAGGCCCAAGAGGTGTGGGAAGGCCAAGAGGCCTATAGTGGGCCTTCGTGCTCACACATTATATTGTCATTTTCTTCAACATGGCATTTAACACATGGTAGTCTTGTCCACATACCTCAGAACATAATGTGACAACTTAACAAAATATTGACACTTAATTGAGACATCTACTTAATAATGTGACATGTCATCTAAGTATTAAGATGAAGTTATGTCAACTGTTGCTTTTTTCATTATCAAGTTATATACTCTTATTCTTAAACACAATCTTCTTTTTAAACATCTTTTTATAAAATTACTTGACTATTTTTTTCTTAAGACTTTTGATTGTTTATGTTATACCAACTTACGGCCTTATGAAAAAGATAAATTCAAACAACAATATGAATGTTGTATATTTTTTATATAGAGTTCTTTGAATCATAGATATATGTGTCTTTCTTTAAATATTGAATGTTTTCATGTTTATTGTCATGTTGTATTTGATGGGTCTATTTTTTCATTTACTGAGAGTTTTATCATATTATCTACAACTCAACTTCTATCTAATGATATTTGAGTTCTTTACCACACTCATTTTATCTCCTAACATCACCATTAGTATCACTACTATTCAAACCTTGACAACCAATCATTTCGTTGATCTTCATTCACATATATTTTCTAATTCTGATAATAGTATATCTAATGATCCATCATCTCCATTGATCTTGCCACACATCAATTCTTATAATACTTTCACTTTTTGTTCAACTTAATTTATCTTATGCATCAATATAATATCACTCTTAGATCTTTATAAACACAGTCAACCTATGTTGCTCACTATTCAATTATTTGCACAATATCCACTTCCCTTATACTGTTATTTCATCTCCTAAGCTCACATGTTTTACACAAGCTTCTAAAAGTTCAACTTGATGAACAGCCATGGCTACTAAATTTGATGATCTTCTTAAAAACAAAATTTGAAATCTTATTTTTCGTGCATCACTTATGAATGTTATTAGATGTAAAAAAAGTTTATCTTCAAACTCAAACAAAAATCAGATGGCACAATAGACTACCACAAATCTTGTCTTGTAGCCAAAGATTTTAAACAACAAATTGACATTGACTATCATGAAAATTTTGGTTTAAACTAAACATCACCATCATTTGACTTCTACTAGCTATCTCTACAAGTAAATGATGGTTCATCGACAACTTGATACATCCACTGTATTTTTACATGGTAAGCTTGAAGAAATTATTTACATGGAACAATTTCTTGGATTCAGTCATCCATTTTTCCACATCATGTTCGTCATCTTTAGAAATAATTATATAGTCTTCGTCAAGCTCCTTGTGGTTGGTTGACTTGTCTACCGACTTGGCTTTTAAATATTTTTTTTATATTATATGACTAACACTTTCTTATATTATAAATTATCTTCCCATTTTACTATTTTTATTATGATTTATGTGGATGATATTTTAATAATTAGCTTGGATCAAAGGGGCGTACGTCTATTTCCACACAATGACCAATTTCTCATACATCTAACTTTGCTATAATTAAATTTTCTAATCCATACATATATCCTAATATTGTAGGTGTCCTTCAATATATCACAATCACATGGCTTGATATTACCTATATAATAAATCATGCATGTCAACATCTGCATGATCCCACTATTGACCATTAGAACTCTATGAAACATCTCTTACAATATTTGAAAGTCATCATCACCTATGGCCTCTTATTACAAAGACATTTAATTTTACAACTTATTGATTTTAATGATGTAAATTAGATTGGATCCATTGAGGATTGATGCTCAACTAATGATTATCTCATCTTCATTGACAACAATCTAATCTCCTAAAACTCTAAGAAACAACCCATTGTTTCTAGATCTACCATTGAGGCTGAGTGTAAGGCAATTGTTAATGTTATTGCTGAACTAATTTAGATCTATTCTCTTTTGCAAGAACTTGGCTTCCATCAAAACCCCAATTGAAATTAACTATCATTTTGTTTGAGAACAAGTTGCGGATAAGCCTCTTCAAGTTTCTTTCATATCCAATAAAGATCAATTGGCCGATATCCTCACGACAAGCCTTCCTAAAAGTTGCTTCAATTGATTACGTTACAAGTTTTATGTTATTCCTAACATCAGCTTGAAGGAACGTATAAAGGATAACTCAACACCATAAGACATCTGCTCATTGGCTTTTGAAGAAAGTCATCAACCATATAGCTGTTGTTACATCTCAACAAACTTTTTATTAACAGACTCTGGGTTACAACACTTTCCATAACAATAATAATAACAAGGATCTCCCCTCCAACCCCCCCCACCCCCCCACCCCCCCTCTCTCTCTCTCTTTACGAATCGCAAGGAGTATGTAGTGCTGTGCACCTCGGTTGGGCTGTCCAGGAATATTTATACATAATTTAAACACGAGTTCGAATGAACTTATCATTGAGCTCTTGACAGAGTTTTTTCAGCAATAACTTGCAAGATTACTGCGAGTTTTCTCCTCTGTCTCTCCGCTCCTCCCCGGCTCTCTCTCTCTCTCTCTCTGATCATCTCTCTTTGTCTCCCTCTCCTCCCTCTCTTCACTCTCTCCGGTAATCCTCCGTATCCGTCCACCAGGTCATCGATCACATCATCAAAAAATGTCACCGGTAGCTTCAAAATAGGACGATAATAGCAATGAGACATTGGTTTATGTCGATCACGCGACCTTGCATTGCCAAGAGTAATCTCGTCTACGAAAGCATGAATACTGGGCTATGTTCTCTTCTTCCACCTTACAACAAGAGCGAGAGAATACTCGGTGATATTAGATGATGCTGACGTCTTGCAATGGCCTCGCGCCAGGTGGAGCTGGTTGTTGTTTCACTTCGAGGCTGGAATATGTGGAATATGAGACCCAAATGCCGAAAAATATAGGCTCGGTGAAAGATAACGTCTCCCTCCCCTTCTCTCTGTCTCTCTCTGTCTCTCTCTGTCCTAGTGGAACAAGGTGGATGAAAGATACCTCACCCCCTACCTCCCTCCTAAGACACGGAAGTAGGTCACAATTCATCCCGGGAACCATTGCTTATAAAGGCATTTAGTTCTTTGAAATCCCAGGGCAACTGTTTTTCTCTCTTTTATAAAAATCTGATTTTTACCGGGAATGGTGAGAAGGCCGGGGCTCTTGGAAGTCCCGAGATAAGATCCACTGAGGAGATTTTGTACTCTTTATGCATGCTTAAAGACTGTATGGAAAAGTGGGCCCAGATGGCCCACATGTCCACGTGCTTCTCGTCGCCTTGTCGGTGACTTGTAGACAATCTCAGTTCCCAATGTTCCTGTTCGGTCATTCCACACGGACACCGGTGCCAGATCTCTTGGTGGTGGGCCCGACGCTCTTAGTGGTCCCACTGACCATCGGTTGGCTAGAAGAAACGGGTGTTGAAACTCTCCTTTTGGTGGGCCCAAGAGGCTCTTGGCGGGCCTGTCATCTATAACAGGGAATGTTGTACTCCAGTGTAGTGTGTAGTCGACCGGTTTATTTCCTCTGCCTTATACATTTCTGGGTGCTCTCCCCTCCTCTCTCTCTCCGTCGCTACCGTTGTCTCTCTCTTCCTCTATTGCTCGCTAGCTGCCTGTCTTTCCCACTCAAGCAATAGCGCTGCTTGTACCCTTGTTCTGGTTGCAGCTCGAAGCGGAGATCTGCTTTCCTCCCCCTCCCCACTCTCCCTCTTCCTCTCTCTCTCTCTCTCTCCCTCTCTCTCTCTCTCTCTCCCTCTCTTCTTCCCTCTCCCTCTCTGTCTCCCTCTCCATCCCTCACTCTCTCTCTCTCTCTCTCTCTGAACCGACGACGGCAAAGCCGCTCGAGCTGGGTCACCGGCTCAGGTGTCTACGATCAAGATTACGATTAAGATGACGATGACGAGCATCGTGAGGACGTTAATGATAAAAGATCGAGACCGCCACGCCCATAATCACACGAATCCTAGGGCTCGCACGTGCCGCATGAGGCAATTAATAAGTGAGCATTAAATAAATGCACTCGTGAACTTACCTGCCGACAGAGAGTCTATGAGCAGATTTTTCCAGCTTACGTCACATCAGTGCCGAATGAGTCCCCCTTCCCAAGGAATTTTCCTTGGCTTACCGTATTTATTTATTACCTTTTTCACAGAATATATCTTTTATTTTTTGCTCAGTAGCTGTCCAATCGTGTACACGTGCGTGCCCATATATCTTCAGTAACCGAGGGGAGAGAGAAAGAGAGTAGAGAGAGAGGGAACCTGTACACCCTTTCCTCCCATCTAAAAAGCCGCAGTTATTGTGCCAGAGACCGATCATTAGCAGGCGGAGGAGGTGACTACTCCATCTCCCACCCCCGGCAGGAAGAGAGGGAAATAACTTCGGAGACGGAGATTTTAAGGGCGTTGGTGGGTTCGATATCCGGCGAGATCAGAGCGGTCGGCGAGGAGTCGCATCCGGCGCCGGAGAAGACGGGTGACATCTCGCCGGCCGGCGGGATTCTCCAGCATCCAGTGGTGCAGCCCGCCGACGGGTTGGAGGATTCCGGCGAAGATCACTGCTTAACTTGACTGTGCGTAGGAGCCCTTGAATTTAAGTGTGAGCCATCTTTTTCCATATTTGCCTTTTTGTCCTTAGTCAGCCGTATACAGTGTGATGGATGTCGAAGTCTGACCACCCACCTGGTAAAAATATGATAAGGGAGAGGGAGAAAGAAGGGGGGAGATAGATATATATATATAGATAAATAGATAGATAGATAGATAGATAGATAGATAGATAGATAGATAGATAGATAGAGAGAGAGAGAGATGAACGTGTGAATCATTGTGACAATCATTATACTTCCGAAAACGAAAATTAAATGCCTAACTTTATGGGACTAATTAGAATGTCCCCTACCGCCTTAAAGCTAGACGGCCTAACTAGTAGAGATGCTATCAAAGAACCATATGACTTACGTGAATATTATAAAATGATGTTTAACAGAGAAAGGGAAACCGTGTCATTGAATAGACGGGCCCTACTATGCCAATTGTCAATGATCTTGAACTGGACAAACCTATTAGCTAGCAACAAGACAATAATACAACACGGCCAGTAGCCGAGTTGACATAGAGATGTTGCATCAAGTCTGGGGCACATCCAAGTGGATGGTAGATACCGAATATAGCTGATAAACCTACTCTCGGGATGTGATCGCAACTATACAGGAGGAATTTAAGTGGTTGTTGTACTTGGACTGTTTTGTGATCCTTTAGAGAACCGTAGTGATTAGTCACCTCTGAATTAGTCTGCGACATGAACACTCGTTAGTTCTTCACTAAGTACAAGATGAGAAGAAAAAGGAGGGAGGATATGGGGGATAAAACGAGGAAGATGAGAAAAGGGTATTAGATTTAAAGAAGGAAAATGAATAATCCATTCAATTAGCTGATCGTGTTGGCGTGAATTTTGTATGAAAATGGCCGTAAAAAGAGTAGACTCGCTGTTATAAGTGAGAAATTATTAGTTTTTATGAAGTCAAATATTATTAGGGGCTGCCATCTGGTGAGGCTGGACCCGGGCTTTGAGTAATGCAGGCCCAATTGGTTGTCTTCTTTGGGGCATCGACTTCGATGAGAGGAGAGCTTCCACGTTGGTGACTGGAGATCAGGATTGTGGGGGTGGAAATGAGGTCCAAGTTTGTAGCTTGTCCCTTTCGCAGTCTGGATATGGGGCAGTCAGGCTGAACCATAATGAGGGCTTAATCAATCCCCTTGTCATCTTTCTCTGTGATCCCTTGGTTGAGCCAGGCTAGGGTTAACTCGCCTATTTTACAGTGAGTCGGATCTTTATAGTCTTAGGCAGTACAGAGTAGCTAGTCTTCTCCAAGGATTTTTATAAGGAAATGATGGCTGATAGTGCTGAGGAGGAAGGGTTCTACATATAATTGTCTACGCCTAAGCACAAGATTATATAGATAGATAGATAGATAGATAGAGATAGATAGGATAGAGCGAGCGAGAGAGAGAGAGAGAGAGAGAGGACTGCGGTACGTCACTAGGGGGCTGTAGGCGGACCGGCGGGTATTGAATGGATGGACGAGTTCTCATTTTGCTTCCTGCCGCTCATCCACACACATCTCTCTTCCCCTCTCTCTTCCTCAGTCTACAATAAAATTCCTCTGCGCGACTTTCCCTTTACTCCTTTGTTTCTTTCGATTCTCCCACAAGCATCTATGTCTGTTTTCACTCTCGGCTGTCGTTAATTCTCTTTCTAGGTTTTTTTAGTTGCTGAGATTCTCAAGCTTCATCGGCTGATTCTTCTTCGTCGCCTAGCCCGTTGCACCGATGTTCTTCATGTTCTTCGTTCCCGAAACCTTGAAAGACCTTTCTTTTCCTTAACTCACTTTGCCGATGGGCGGTTTGATCGAGTCGTCCCTAAAGCCGCTTTTGACTGCCTTCCGTCTTCATCGTTTACCTCTCCAGACAAGATCTCTGTAGAGCTCTTTGAAATCATCTCCTGAGAGAAAACCCACGACAATTTCATCAGTCTTCTCCTCTCTCGCTTCGATATTCGGAAGAACTAGGTGTATAGAGCACGGAACAAAGATTCACGGTGGACTCCAGAGGAAGACGGCGCCTTTATGAGCTTCCGATCTGATGCGAGCTTATTTTTCCAGAATATGAGAGACTCACAGATCTGATCTTTATCTCGATCATCTCTTCATTCTTTCCTTTCTTCAAGTGGGTATTTCTCGAAATCCTCCTCTACGCGGAAAGTACGATGACGAAAGGGATGGTAATTCTGCGCCAACCAACGGCTGCTCTAGAGGAGAACAAATCGAACCTCACTTCAGCTTCAGGCGAAGTCAGTGCCTCCTCCAACCAGCGGTCCTTCGCCTCTCCAAACCCTAATCTATCAATCAAGAAGAAGAGGAACCCCCCCGGCAACCCGGGTCAGTCCCAGTGATCTCGTACCACCATCTCTCTCTCTCTCTCTCTCTATTCAATCAGCTCATGAGAATTTCCTATTCTTGCGGTGTTGATTTGCAGACCCAGATGCGGAGGTGATAGCTCTATCGCCCAAGACCCTTCTTGCCACGAACAGATTCGTGTGTGAGATCTGTAACAAAGGGTTCCAGAGGGACCAGAATCTGCAGCTCCACAGGAGGGGGCATAACCTGCCATGGAAGCTGAGGCAGAGGAACAGTAAGGAGGTAAGGAAGAAGGTGTACATCTGCCCGGAGGTAACCTGCGTTCACCACGAGCCCTCGCGGGCTCTCGGTGACCTCACCGGCATCAAGAAGCACTTCTCCAGGAAGCATGGGGAGAAGAAGTGGAAGTGCGACAAGTGCTCCAAGAAGTATGCCGTTCAGTCCGACTGGAAAGCCCACTCCAAGACTTGCGGCACCAGGGAGTACAGATGTGACTGTGGAACACTCTTCTCAAGGCGAGCTCGTTTAGTCCTCCTTCCCTTTCTCTTTCTCTCTGATGACCAGCACTTGCCTGATCGAGAGTAAGACGTGCGAAATCCTAGTGCGAAACGAGATTTTTCTTCCAATATTCTACTCCACTATCTTATATTATTTCATTCTTCTTTCGATCTTTCGATGTGACTGAGGCATCTTCTTATCAAGGCAAGCCTGTCTCAGTCCGTCCTAACAGCACATTTCTCTCTCTCACTCGCTCTCAATGGATTGAGGGAGCATGGGGATTAATTTATTCATATGCTATCCTCTCTTATCTTGTTTTTTTTTCGTTTTTTTGATTTTTTAGAGTGTTGTCCTTGTCCGGCACCGGTTGGGATGGCTCTTTTGTATTCTTTCTTCCCTTTGTTGTTGTATTGACTTGCGTTCTCTGGTTTGTTCTTGCAGGAGGGACAGCTTTATCACTCACAGGGCCTTCTGCGACGTCCTAGCAGAAGAAAGCACGAGAGTCTGCACTGCAGCAAACCCTTTGCCAGACTGCCACCACCCCCTCCTCCTTTCTCCGGCCACAATTCCCCATGACCCGACTTCCTCCTCCCGGGGAAACCCCCAGACCCAGTTCCCCTTCTCCGCCATTGCTATAGACAGTCAAGCTCTGGAAGACTTCTCTTTGAAAAGAGAACAGCAGCATCAGCTCAGTCTAAGACCGGAGGTTCCATCTTGGCTAGCTTACCAGGCCCCACCTGCTCAAGGATCCTTCATCAACTTTGACTTCCTCCCTTCCCTCTTCCCAACGTCGTCTCCTCTCCCTCCTCGCACCTTCCACCCTTCTCTTCACATGTCCGCCACTGCGTTGCTGCAGAAGGCGGCGCAGATGGGCTCGACCATTAGCAGCCGGTCCGATCGGAGCCAGATGGCGGCTCACACGGGCGGCGGCGATTCCACGGCGGTTTTCGGGCTCAGCTCGTCGTCGCATATAAACATGGAGGGATTCCGTCCCGGAAGTCAACCTCCTTCCTCGGTGCAACATATGGTGATGAGTTCCTTCCCTTCGAGCTCCCATCAAGAAGGGTACTCCCTCACGCATGGTAACGGATGGGTGATCGGTTCCCGTGGAGACGTCGACGACGGAGGCGGCGGCGGCGCCTCCTCCTCCGCTGCCGCCGCTGCCGATGGGATGACGAGAGATTTCTTGGGTCTTAGGGCGCTTTCTCACGGAGATATTCTCAGCATGGCGGCGCGCCTTGGGCCTTGCGTGAGCTCCTCCTCCTACGAGCCGCTGCAACACTGCAAGAAACCTTGGACAGGGTAGCTCCTCTTTGCAACACTCCATCGGAGGCAGCTGACTTCCTCGTCACCATGAACTATGGCTCCATCGCCCATAATCTTGAAGACGCCGTTCGTCAACCCTCTGGATCAACAACTAGATTTTTGTTCCAGCTATGAACTCCCGCTGGGATTCCACAATAACCACCATTCCCTTGCACCCTCCTGCTGAAGGTGTATCGAATACCCCTCTTTGCGAGCTGCACCAGTCTTCGAATAACGGGCTCTTTCCCTTGAGAATTGTCCCGCAACTGATAAAATAAAAAAAATGTGATTTCTCTGTTTAGTGGATGGCTCATTCGGCTGTGAATCAGTCACAAAGTCTCAGCCTACTTCAGCGGACGATGGGTTAGGAATGATTTGACGTGATAACATACCCTAACTTTCCTCTCCGTATCTTACTCTACGTAGTTTTGGGAATGAAGAGATGACCTACATTACGACGGACAGAGAAATCCTAGTGGATTATACGCTAAACGATGAGATTTTGATGTGAAGGGGTACAGCTTCGAGAGCGGACAATGATTAGAGCGCTCCTCGCCGGTACAGTGGTGTCCTTCTCCTTCCTCTTCTTCCCTTCCCGCGATATAGGTAGGCCTCATGTTGTTTTACGGACGAGGGGGTGTTTGTTGGCCAGGTGAAGAAGAGAATGGTCAGACGTACAGCGGCTTTCATTAATGGCCACACTGTTTCTAGGGGACGAGGGAGTAAGTGGTCATGCTCGTCACCACCGAAGACGCTTACGGATCACCCTGATCCCATCGGGGTTCCGTCTGGATCCCCGCCATTGAATTCGTCGCCAGGGGCCATCCTCTTTGATGGACAACGGTGTGTTGTAAAGCGTGGCAGAAAAGACCAGGAGCGGAAAACTGTGGTACTCGGAATAGAGAGAGAGAGAAAGAATGGGGGGACAGTAGGTACGGAGGGGGGGGACAGAAAGAGAGAGCGAGAGAGAGAGAGACATCAGCTTTCTTATATTATCTTTCAACTTTTACTTGTCAACGAGCCTTTTGCCAAAGACATCAGCTTTTATGCTTCCTGTGCAGAAAGAGGGGAGGATAGAGTGTAGTGCTCATAGAGTAGATCTGCGTGTGGCGCGAGCTAGAGTATCACATCCCCGAAAGAGAGAGAAAAGTGTAAGTAAGTTATCTCTCTCTCTCTCTCTCTCCCGACGGCGCACCCAAACGACAGATAGATAATAAGGACAACCTTGCGAGTTTCTCTAACTTTCATCCCTCAGCTGAACGCCAACCCAGAGCTGTTCCCTTCTTCAGTCAGTGAAGTTGTCAAAGCCCTCACCAACCGGAAGAGATCCACAGCAGGATTCTTTAAGCAACTGGCCCCAGGGCGGGGATGGAGCCACCCGTTGGGATGGCCTGCCAAGGCTGGCCGTCCCCTGCGAGCGGCTGAGCAACCAGCTCCACGCAGCAGTCTCACATAAATAACTCAACTCTCTCTCTCTCTACGATCTGTCCTACCTGCTCTCGCGGGACTGTGGATTCGTCCATCTTTTCGCCCTGTTACCATGGGAAAAGCTCCCACAGAGCAGGAGGGAGAAGTGTAGCTGATATCGGAATGATGAGGGCCCTTCGGCCATGGAACTCTCCCCGATCTGACGTCACGTCACCTCTGATAAGATAGCACAGCGGGGATTCTTTCGTCTGCCGGAGGAAACCCTGATTCCATCCGAGAGAGAGAGAGAGAAAGGGGACAATTATGTGCAACCGTCTTGCTCACCTGGCTCCTGTTTGCCCATCTCTCACTTGAACCGCCGGTAGGACCCGGGGGCCATAACCTTCCTACATACCATACTCACGACAAGAACAACATATAGGAATAGGATCAAACCCTTTCTCATCGGAACAGCGATGACTTCAGACACATCTTTACATGCGGTTTTTCAGATACGGGTTAACCAAGATCTTGTCTTTCACTGTCCTCCATTGCCCGGTGGACTTCCTCTCTCTCTCTCTCCCCCCATGACCGCACCGAAAGAAAGCAAGCTCGCCCATCATTCATGGCGAAGTTCCCTCAGCTTCACCATGTAGAAGCACGTGGACGAGGGCGCGGTGGTTGGGGTGGAGAAAGAGGGTGGGGGTTCCTGCGACCCCACTACTGTTCCCCACCAGCCATGAATGAATGAATGCTGCTCTCCCACTGTCACTGCGCAGAATAAACGGGAAGCTTGAAGGCTTGCTTTAACGAACGGGACCATCTGATTGATCAGGAATATCAGCCCCCTCACCCCACCCCCCCCTTTCTCTCTCTCTCTCTCTCTCTCTCTATCTCTATCTCTATCTCTAGGGGGTTGTCGAAGCATGTGCGAGACTGAAGGGGACGTCCTCAGAAATTTGCCCAAAAGGTAAGCAAATACGAAGCTCTAGAATTTCACTTAAATGATCCATAACCAAGAAGATGGGCGATGATGACATTCTCATTCCTCGCAGGGGAGGGAGGGTTACAAAAGCATATACAGCGGCATGTAGGGACCGAAAACTATTGGAATCCTGTGGGGTATGAGCTACAACAGTTTCGCCATTATAATACGCACATCCATGGAAGACACATAAACAAACAGTGCTCGAGAATCGGATCATCTACCGCGAAATGGCAATAAATGAAGCAGACCCGGCTGATCTTAAATACCTCATTCAATGTGGAAGCTATTCTAGTGGCATCCCGGAGCAGAACCCGCTGTCCCTCCTCCTGGAATTGATCAGTGCTCCCTCTATCATGGCCACAGATTTCCATGGCCGGGGTGGGGAAAGGGGGGAGGGGAGGCCCGTACGCCCAGTGGGCCTCTCACAGAAGAGAGAGAAAGGAGGAGGGAGGGTTGCTGCCACCGACAGGGTTCTTGGGGAAGGCTGACTGGTGAATCTGCGATCAAAAGGGGTTACTGGGCTTCTCAGGCAAAGGAGAGTACATCTGAGTCTGAAGTCTCTTGAAGAGGGATGAGGAGGAGCTTCTGAGGCTTCCTCTGCTGAGACAAGCTCTCAACAGCGAGAGAGAGAGAGAGAGAGAGAGAGAGAGAGAGAGAGATGTGTTCGAGAAAATGATGAAAGGAAGCATGCGTGGTGGAAGAAAGGGGGGGGGGGTGCTTGGGGACGGATAAATACTGGGCTTATGTCTTGAGCGGCGCCTTCTTCTCTCTGTCAGATATCCGAGAGGGGGCATTGGAATGAGACTTGAAGCGGCCTCTCCCCCCTTCTTCCTTTTCCTGCAGCAAAGCCAAAAAGAATTGGGATTACAACCTCCACCATGGTGAGATCAAGTACCCACCCACTCCCCCAAACCCATATGGGCCGGGCTGAATCAGCTCATATCAGATGGCACAGAGGGGTTAGACTAGGCTAGGCTCCTGATATTTTCAGCAGCTGGATCAGAGTGGGTGGGGGGGGCTGAGACTTTGGTTTCCGTGTTTAGTAATGAAACTTTGGGGCTAAGTGGAACCAGGGTTCACACACCTTCTTCTTTACTATCTGGACGACGTCCTCATCGTTGAGAGCATGGGAGAGCCCACAGCGCTGGGGGTAGTGCTTTGCGCTGGTTCCCCATGCCAGAACATACTTCACGTCCTTCAACAGGCTCCTGTGTATGTGATTACAGAAGTCCTCAACTGTGCATCCTCCTCTGTCCTGCAGTTACATACCAAAGGGTATTTATTATTCATCGGCCAAATAATAGGAGCAGTGTCAAGATCGGTGTAAAGAAGAAGCACAACAACAGGATGTATATATATCTCACAGTCGAAAGAACCACAGGATCTGAGAAATCGGGTTGTTGGCCCTGCGGCTTTGTGTAGACTCTAACAAGGCCCATCTCCTCCCACATCTTTGACAGAAGTCTGTCCAAGTTAAGCTGCATCAAGGCATCAATGAACCAGTTCAATCCTCTACAGTGCCCAGAGAGAGAAAGGAGGAAATGAGTGCTTTGTTTCATTGTTTTCAGTGTAAGCAGAAGGTGGGTAATAGATGAGACTTGTTCTGAATGATGAGTGACGAAACCTGCCTTCAAATTGCAGCTGATAACAACTGAATTTGGTTGCCGAGCTAGTCTGTCCACATCATCGATACCGATGACATCAATCTTATTATAGACATAAATGCACTTCATGTATTTGCGGTTCCCCTCGATGACATCAATAAGATCATCAACAGTAGCATCTTCTCTAAATAGTACCTGCAATGAAACAAAATATATGAAGAAAAAAAATACTAGAATAGGAATGGACGATCTATATATATATAATATCCATATCAAATAAAGTAAGCATCTGTCCTTGAATGAAAGTTATCTACTTCTGTTCGATGTACAGGAAATAAAAAAAAGGAAAAGTCTATGCATAGCTGTTTAGGCCGAGAATGGTCTATGCATTACATCGACAGAAAATCCAGAGAGAAGGATCAAGACACAGTAAAGCTTCTGCTAGCAACTTATAAAATTATGGTGAACATAAAAATTCCAAAAATTCCAATGAAGATACCTCTGCATTGTGTATCTTGTATTCATGTAGAATTTGATAGCAAAGCTTCTCATCAACATGGGTCAATGTAAGGGTACTGTTGAAGGAAATACCCCCCGTCTTTTTCTTCTTGAAATATATCTGAAAGAATCATCGGATGAAGGTGTTAACAGCTCCGAGTTTCCCCTTCCCATGAGTGGAGATTCACTTCAACGATCAACGATCAACCATCAACCATCACGACATACAACAGCATTTTTACAGCAGAAGAAATAAAATAATATTTGTGCAGTATAACTAAGCCATTGACAATGAAATTGAAATCAACACATATTTATTTTATCATGATCACCGCTGCTTCCATGATTGGAACATTGTCCACATGTCGATTTTTCAGCAACAAGAAAGTTCTCCAGTTCAATTAAACGTAATTACAGGAGTGGTGTTCGAATAACTTTTCTTCTTTTCTCATCTTCTAGGGGAACTGAATATCAACACAGAGCAGCAGTGCCACGTGAACAGTAGAACTTTCAGATTTTCAAATGAAATCAAGTCACCAAACACCATGGGTGGTCCACATAGCGGATTGTAAAATCAGGGAGTTTTAAGGGAAAAAAATAGAGACTATTTTCAACCTGGACACAAGGTAACGGATGAAGTTCTATGATCAAAACAATTCTTTACTAAGATCCCTCCTGAATTATGTCGACTATAAGCTATAAGACAAAATGTGACCAACGAAATGGCTCGATTATATCGAATCTTGACATGAGGAAGGGAGCATAAAAAACTAGCCTAACATACAAGCATGGAAACAAGTAATGAAACTTACTTGAGGAGGCCTCTTGTTAAGCCGAAGACCAACGGCTTCTAGCTCCTTTGTTAATATTTGACGATGACCCTCACTCTGATATTATCACATGATGGTGCACCATACTCATGTCAGATAAAATAATAGTAGAAATAAACAAAGAAAAAGTAGACAGAATTTTGAAAAGTTGGTTCCACAAAAGAAAATGGAAGTACATTGCTTTGAAGAGAAGTTTCTGCAGAGAATGTATCTCGTTGCAATTCATATTGATGATAATAGCATCGAATATGAAATAAAATAAAAAACATGAAGCAATAATATCTGACGGTGAGTCTTATGTAAATTCAAGAAAAGGACATTCCTCTCATATTGACAGAAAATATAACCAAAAACTTGAGTATATTGACATAAAATATATCCAAGAAACCTTAATTGAATAACATACCTTTGAGGCATCAAGAACCATTAGCACGATGTCTGAAGATTTGGCTACAGCAATAACCTAAGAGCAATATATAACCGCAGTCATTACGAGTTTTTCAAGTAACAACAACTTCAAAACTAATCATAAACAGCAAAGAATGATGAGATATAGAAGGTTAGCTACCTGCCTACCACGTCCCTTGCCCTCTGAAGCCCCCTCAATGATTCCGGGAAGATCGAGAAGCTGAATTTTAGTATCATTGTATTGAATGATACCAGGGATGCATGTGAGCGTGGTAAACTCGTATGATGCAGCTTCAGAATGTGTTCCCGTTAACATTGTTAAAAGTGTTGATTTTCCCACGCTATCATCAATTAAAAAAAGTCAATCATTCATCATGGTACAGTGCAGTTCAAATTTCATAATTCGTAGCATAGTTCAAAGCTTGGAAACCGCGCTTAATGACTGGCCCCAAACATCAAAAGTAATGGTAGCTTAAAAGCGGTAGGAAGAGAAACGGAAAGATTAACGCTTCATATATTATTCAGTAAAGAAGAATAAAAGAGGATGACTGGCGTCTGCAACTTTCAAGTCAACATTAATCTTCTACACTAAGGTACACAATGGTTTATGAGGTTGAAAACAATCTCCGATGCATACAGATGGTTAGGACATTTGACAATCAAAAGTTCCTGAATTATCTTCTAGATGAGACACGTGCCTTCAACACCAGAATACTAAAGACAGCAATTTTGTTGAATCTGGAGAATTTGGTCCAATGGAGTAGAACAATAAAGAAAGAGCAGTTTTGTTGACAATGGTGTTTCATCTGCCAATTAGACGTTACTGATTCACGAGAGCAAACTCTGCCCATTTGATATACTATGCCAACGTATCTCCTTTTTGTTTCTTTTTTCTTCCTTGTTCAAGTTCGCCCATTTGGCAATATTGATCATTACCATTCGGGGTATAATCTATATGAAATCTCTAAAAAGCCAAAGCAGATAAGTTTGCACACATTTAATGAACTGGAGTCATACGACTTAAGGAAATAAAGAAATGAAATTTTCGCAAAAAGGAAATATCCAACTCCGACAAAGAAGTAAAGTAAATCCTGGATGTACTGATCCTAAAATTTGTCTTCAAGATGTAACCTCCAAGATGCCCATCTATTAAGACATAATACCTGCAACAGGTTGAGTCATGGGCTAAAACTATGGTTTGTGGGTTTAACGTAAACTTCAAGGCGTGAAGGTTCTTTTGAAAAGCCTTTTTCCCTCATAGGTGTGTATTTAGTGTGAATTCATGTTTTGTAACCCTGGGGTAACAAACTCTGGATAAGATATTTCGATTATTATGTTTCTTGCTAACGTAAATGAAGTTTTCTTTACCACCATGATCGTTGTTAAAGTCTTCCCCACAAAATCCCATGGCTTCTCAATAAAAAGCTGAGAATCTTGAAAACTCTAATTTTATTACACCATGAGCAGACAATATCTGAAAAACAACATACTACTCCAAAAGCATTCAAAAATCATAACCAAAATAGATGGGGGCATAATATGTGCATAAATACTACATAGATTCTGTCATAATACTACATTCGTAATTATAAAAAAGAAGTAAAAAGAACTCTCTAAACGGGAAAAAAATGTGCAAAGATACCAAAATTTCCTTATTCATATGGCCTAAACAAGACACGTCCTCCATTGTTGTCCACCAATCAGGAAAACTATTTCGCCATAAAGGTAGGGAGAGAAAATCTTTGGAGCATTATCAAAGGCAAGACAAGGCAAACCTGGGAAATCCGATCAGCGCAACACGACCATGACCAAATTTTGTAACTTCGAAGCCATCCCCAGCTCCACTGGATCCCTAATTGACCGATTTTTTGTTAGTAAACAAGAATGCATGAAAAAAATTAAAATTAACAACCCCTCGATAAGAAACTTGTAGAACATAAAGTTATTATGATGAAAATGATATTGATACCAGTGTGGCAATTGCCACAACCAATCCATGAAAGCACAAGCAACGGAAAAGTCCATAAGATCCAATGAAATGATAAAAAGATCATGACAAAAAATATTAAGAGCATGGTCGTCCATAAAGCGTAAAAAAAATTCCTGAATGAGCATCCATGCATAAAAATCAACAAATGCTCCTAACTAGAAATTTTCTTTCATCATTGTCATTTCAGTGAATTGTCATCTGACGTTTCACAGCGACAGACCATAGTATATATTTTAGGATATTCGATGTGGGTCCATGAATAACTAACACACCATAAGATAAATTCATGGCAGCTACACCTTGCTCCCAAAAGTGCCACTGGGGAATGAAACTCATTAGGTCAATCCAGCTCTCATCGTAAATTTACTTCCTAGTGGACTGGAAAAAGGAAATGATTTTTCAGGAAGACAATTGTAAGACGGAGGATTATTCATACCACAAACATTATTTTTTTTTTGGGAAAATGATGCAGAGCAGTCAGACAATCAACAGCAATGCAAGAGAATAAATGGTGCTTCGGTAAGGAGGACATAATTGCAAACTTGCAATATAAATATAGGCTTTTACTTTAAAAAAGGACATGTAATGTTAATGAGCATGTTGATGCAGATACTGTAGATCTACGGTTGAATACTGAGATGCGGGACATCAGGCCTACTGTTAAGAGATGGCATCCCTATAGCCACCATATCAGATTTTCATTTTCATGTTCCTCATAAGCACTTAATACATGAATATTCATCATTCTGCATGCGTAGTTGATAACTTGTTTCAGATCTTCTCCAGCCAAGGAGAAAGGACATGATATTCATACCTTTGGAGGTTCTAGTAACTGTGTTCTCAACTTTGCCAGTTTTGCCTTCAGTTGCCCAAGATGATACTCTACAGATTGAATGAAAGCAGGATTTTTTCAATTCACAACAAGATGAAATCCATTCACAACAATTTTTTTTGTAAAGCTGAAAATTTAGGATGGGATTGTAATATACTCAAATGACAAGGCTCACCATCTGGACCAGGATCTATTTCCTCCTGATAAATAAACAATCTAAAAAGAAACCAATGAAAGCAGGTGCTTGACAACGCAAGTATATACAGAAACGTTATGATTTAAAAGGAAGGGGTGGGTTAAACTTGCAGCGAAGATCACCAAATCTCGGGTCAATTCCAGAAGCCTATGATTCAAGTGATCATGATGGCTCCAGAATCACACATATTACTTGAACAGATCAAACAATAGTGCTAAGTGCATCCCCAATTTTGACTGTTGATAGCAAGTATTACTGGTAAAAAAATTGGCCATTTGAGAAAATCTCTTTTTGTGGACATTCAAAGCTGAAAACGTTTCCTAAATGGTAATTTTTGGATACGCCCAACCCATCAAATTATTAGAGTTCCCTTTCTCCTTCAAAAATATACAGAACGAACATAGTCCAGAAATATGATTCCGAGTAGGATGGATCAAAGACCAACTTTCTTTCTGCCATGATAAATATCTAATACAACCCTATCAATAGTTAAAAAAAAAAAAGGGGCTGCAATTTTTTGGAACAAAAAAACTAATATGTTAAATTGAAGCCATTAGAAGCAATTTTTTGGAATGGGGATATCACAGACACAAAAGGACTGCATCTGTTACATTGGATGGTGTTTGAAGAACAAAATAGAAATAACGTGTATGTTTAGAATTAGCACATCGGATAAGGCTCAACTTTCTGGATGATGGTGGCCAGCTGGGATGGATAGTTCTTTGGATGCCTTGGGAATGGATTGACGGTCCCGCATTAATTCTTATTAAAATCGTCTCTCAATTGAAGAAATAATCTTTAAGCAGCTGAATCTAAATGCCGTCTCATTCTGTAGATTCTCAAAAGGGGCAATCAAAGAGGACCTAAAATTTAGGACATATGGTTCCAAAGGTAGCCTTCCATTAATAATTTTACAAGCCCGAACATGTATTTTAAACTAGTGATGGTAGGCAATTCCATTTCGGAAAGAGCTTTACCCCTATTTTGGAAGAATTTCTAACAGAAAACAACTTCCTTCCAAAATCGAAATTTTCTAATGGAAAATGACGGATTAGGACTCCCTACATTGGCGGAATTCGAATTTTTAGCCTAATATTGAGAATCACACTATTCAGGCGTTTTGGAAGGTTGTTTTTAGCACAATTCAGATTCAACGAGCCAAGATGCCCGAAGTTCAAAGACTTTGTGCGCATGGAATCATCAATGCCCCTGGGACCCAAATTTATCAAGAAGGAAATGTTTCCACAGACTATGCCACCAGGTAACAGTTTGGAAAAGTGCAAAGCTGGGCATTCAGTGTGATTATGGAGGAACTGGAATACTCGCCCCAAAAAGAACTTCCTAGGTACACAATTAAAGGGGAGCAGTGGGTGCTGTGCTTACACACTAGGCTACCCTTCTTCAATAGTAAGAGATTTTAGCAAACTTTCAAATATTCTCAAACTAAGTAAAACCTTTCGTGGAGTTTTCATCTATTTTATGATCATTCTGTATTTTACTGCTTATACTGTTCTTCATATCGTCATAAAAAAATTGTTGAAGAAGGGAGTAAGAAATACCTGTAGCCTTATTCTTCTGAGTCCGTGCCATCTCGGCTTCAATTTCTTTTATTCTCTCTAAGATACCCATTGTATCGACTAAAAAATAAACTACAAGCAGATAGGAGGGACGATAATCAACTTTATTCGCCTGTCATCAGAGGAAAGGAAAGGTATCAACAATTGATTGTCCCCAAGCATTTAGGTAGGCCCTAGATAAAAGGATTCAGATCCAGATATAAAAAGACATGCAAGGAATTATATGTAATTGGAAACAAAATTAATGGTGACTCTATGATTTCCTGTTATTTACATCATCAAAAAACTGGACATAAAAGGACGACTTATGCAGTGTGAGAAAGATCCACCCCGAAAACGGAACCACAGAAAAACAAAGATACAACTGTGATTTTTCCGCAGAGTGAAATAAACTGCTCAGATTGTCCTGCTGAGACAGACCACAACAAAAATTACCTTGAGAATCCATAGACCCTCCGGTTAACGATAAAAGATAACGAGGACAGAGAAAAAAAAACGTCCGTTAATTCTTAAAGAGCGTTCGAGCTTCAACAAAAGAAAGAATCTGGCGCCGTGATGGTGGCGCGCCGCCTCATCACGGCGGCAAAAGCCCCTCCGCGGCACCCGAAAAGACAGCAGCTAAACCTTAGAAAGACAACAGCCAGAGTCCCTCACCGGCGGTACTTCCAGGAAAACGATAGGCCGACAAGACGATGAAAACCTCTTCGAGATGAGACTGGGAGCAGCGGCGCTCCTCCCACCTGCGCGCGAGATCAGTAGAACAGGAAGAAAATCGCCGCTGCTCACCACTTGAGCCGAAGACGGATCAAGTCGGCCCGCCAGTTCTTAACAGGCCCGTTTCAACGTATATCCAATTCGGATCTTAAATGGGGCCTAATGGGCCTATACAGTATTGGCCAAATTTATGGGCTAGTAATTTGGACCGGTCCGAAGAAAACACTATTGGGCTGATCTCCCTAGGCATTACCAGTCAACGGGAAACCGGGCCGGATCAGGAAATTGGATCAAGTCGGGCCGCCAGTTCAAAACAGGCCGGTTTCAAGACAGGTTTCGAATGTTTAAATGGGCCTGTACATTATCGGGCAAATTAATAATGGGCTTTATGGGGCGAGCTCCACGGGCATCAGACAGTCAACGGGAAACTGGGGGCGGATCGGGTAACCGCCTCGAGCATCCGGTTCACACGGATAAGAGAAAACTGGGATCACTCCCTCGTCCTGCAGGGTATGACGGAGGGTGACCCGAACGATCGCCGGCTTCCACTTACCTCGTCTCCCCCCCTCCCCCCCCCTCTTCCCCCCCTTCACTTCCTGAAACCCTAGAACAGAAGGGTCTTTCTTTCTGGTGTGGGTGGGCCGTTGCTACTACTCGTGAGGTCTATAACATTTGCTGCTGTGCAGGTTCTGGTGGGTAGGGAGATAGAATCAATGGACGCCGTGGAGGAGCGAGATGCGGCAGGCGAGGAGGAAGAGTACGAGTACGAGGAGGTAGAAGAGGAGGTGGAAGAGGAGGTGGAAGAAGAGGTGGAGGAGGGGGAGGAGGGTGTTGGAGGAGGAGGAGGAGGAGGAGGAGGGTTTCCAGATCAGGGGGTAGATAAGGTAGATAGTGCAGACCCGGAGATGAAGCAATCTGTTACCGGTTCATCATCAGAAGGGTTAGTAGTTCAGGTCATAGGGTGCTATGTAGGCTTATTGTAGTTTTTTCCGATATTTATGCGTGCTGTTTTAGATATTCCGACCTTGCTGTAGATTCGGGCTTAGTTTTTGGTTCAGTTTAATATTTTGGCCCTTACCCGGATGGCAAGGGATAGGCGGGGACGAAACATGGTAATCTGGTGTTTTCTTGTTTCTTAGAAAAATCTTCGTTGGAGGCGTTGGCTGGGAGACCACCGAAGGTAGCGTAAACCATCGATCCCACATTGCGACTTATCTTTGTTGCATTTATTATCATACGCTTCGGAATCTTTTACATATGGCGCTCTTTATCTCTCTCCATGAATCTTCGTTTCATATATATATATATATATATATATATATATATATATATATATATTTCCGAGGCAGAGAGAGGTTTAGGCCATTTTTGATGGCTAAACTCCTGGAGCTTCATCTGTTCAAGAAGGTAGTCCAGTCTGGGAAAACAGGGAATAACCAATGTGTTGAGAATCATGAATCTGAGGGACCTGTTCTACAGGTCTGGTAAATCAGTCCCGAAGAACAGTAAGCAAAGCAGATGCCCATTACGGAAACACTTCATTAACTGGTATCTGACGATGACCTTGATGAGGTCTGCAGGATAGCAAGATCTTTGTGCACAAACTACTTGATGGTTTGGAGAGGAGATGGTGATAGAACTGTATCTGTAAACTCCTCTGGTGTCAATTTCACCATGGCAAAACCGGGATGAGAAGGAACATATCCTTTTCTTCATAGTCGCCGAGATTGAGACGCTGCCACCATTTTGGCAAGACTTTGATACTTTAACCGTCAGAGAACTTGATTTAAACTCGGAAATAGATTTCCAGAATATGCTGATTATTCCACACCACATGAACAAATGGCCAGAAGCTCAGATTATGACCTACTTAGAATATAAAGGTCTATGTATTTTGGGACTAAACATCCCATTCATTAAGATCGTGCCATGTGGGATCTTTGATTGCTTAATCTTTCCTCCTGATTGGGCAGCTATCATTCTTTTTTCCACAAAAGATTAAGGGGCATTTTATCCGTTGGCTCCCTTTTCCAAAATCCAAATCTTTGATGCTACCTTCCAGCGTTGGGTTAAACAGATCTTTCTGAAACATTATTATCAAATTTACATGAACTTTTAAGTCACTTGGGCTCTAGACCTCAACAAGTGATCATGCATATATTTTAAGCTATGTGAATATCAGGTCACATGGTCTATAACTTTCATGGTGCTGTTAGACCGATGTTTTAGTTGCTCGGCGAAAAATCATGAAAACTGAGTTAGGATTGTTCATTCGAAATCAGTTCCATGGTATTTTGAGTCATGTTCGGACAGCCAGTCAGGAGGGATTTAAATTGATCAGTGAAATTGGCAGTTTGAATTAGATGAGCTGAGTTTAGCAACATACTGTGTACAGATTTTATCATTTCAACTATAGAACTTTGAGATTAGATTTTTGACAGTAGATTGTATCTTAATTAAAACACAAAGTTGGCCCTGATTTCTGTTCGTCCCCTGGTTTCTGCTCATCTTCATCTTCATCTTCAGAGGCTCGGAAGCAATGATTTCTCAGCTGAGAAATCAGCTGAGATGGATCAAAACTGATTGATTTCTCATTATCTCATATTTAGGCATTTATATTTTATTTCAAGGGTACTTTAGGGAATCCTTTTTTGGTGTTGAATCTGGATCCATAGTTGTGACTCGAATAACACTGGTCTTGTAGGTTTTGGCGAGAAAAAGTATTCCTCTCAGGCCTGTGTCATCTGTTATTTTCTCTCTCTTTCTCTCCATCCCTCTGTGGTCTGTATCATAGTAGTAAATCCTCCATGCCACCATTTACCCCGTTATAATTGTGAAAGTTGCAATTTTTCTGAAAATTTATGAACGCTATTTTTTTTAAATTTAATATCTGTGACCATGGATAATTGAGGATATGATCTAATACTTCTGAACTGATCGTTTCAACTCTCCTTCAAGCTTTGGCATTTTTCCTTATGTTTTATGTGCTTCACTGTAACATGTAGACTAAATTTTGTGTAGTTTGTTCCCAATTAAGCGATGGGCATTTGTTCATGATATTATGAAACTTGCTGAAGCCTCTAGCTTTCTGGTTTGCTCATAAGTCAACTCTTTGGGGTTACTATTAAAAAACAATTTACCCCTCTCAGTTTTCTTTCTTTTCTTTTTTGGTCAGCAATGGATTTTTCCTCCATGGAAGAATTCCATGTTTCCCATACTATAACAACTCGGGCTCTCTTACAATCTGTTGGTTGTGTCTGCTCTGTTACAGACACCTTTACCAAGCATTTCATCAAGTACGGGGAGATCATTGACTCAGTTATCATGAAGCACAAGGGCACTGGAAGGCCTCGGGGATTCGGATTCATAACTTTCGCCGACCCAGCTGCCATTGATAATGTTCTGAGCGATGAGCACGTCATCGACGGAAGAACAGTATGCCAGCTTTGACTTTTTGTTTTTTTTTTGGCATTGATCAGTTCTCATGTCTGGGTCCTCTCTAATTATCAATTATTCTGCAGGTGGAAGTCAAAAGGACCGTGCCCAGGGAGAGCATGCCGCCCAAAGGTGGCTTCAAGACAAAGAAGATCTTTGTCGGCGGGTTGCCGACCTCTCTAACTGAAGGTAGATAGAGAGAACCGAGCTCCTTCCAGTGCTTCTCCGCTGCAGGATCTGATGGGTTGACTTCTGGGGAACATCTGCAGATGAGTTCAAGGAGTACTTCAGTTCCTATGGCACAGTGGTCGAGCACCAGATAATGCTAGATCACACGACCCGGCGCTCCCGTGGCTTCGGCTTCGTCACCTTCGAGGACGAGGGCTCTGTTGAGGAAGTCATCTCCCTGGGCAAGATGCACACCCTCGGTGGCAAGCAGGTCAGTCAGAGGGAAGTCATCTCCCTGAAGTAGTTGCTATCTGAGATCTTCAAAGAACCTATGATCATCATCATTGGAATCTCAGGTGGAGATCAAGAAGGCTGAGCCAAAGAGAGCAGACAGGGACAGCGGAATGAACAGCAGAGCTGGCCACGGCCACGGTCCGGGGAATGCCCACCGGGGCTTCAGCAGCGGCGGCAGTGGTGGGGGCTTCGCCCGCCACAGCTATGGCAGCCGGGTTGCTGCTCCTGCCGGAGGCTATGGTGGAGGTTATGGCTACGGAGGAGGATTTGGATATAACATGATGGGGTATGGATATGGTGGCGGCATGTACGGCGGTGGTGGTGGCGGCGCATATGGCGGTGCAGACGGTGGCGATGTGTATGGCAGCCCAAGCGGCTACGGCGGCGGTGTCTATGGCGGCGGCAGTGGCGGCGGCGGGGCCTACGGCAGTGGGTATGGCGGTGCAAGATATGGCGGCCGCTACCATCCTTATGGAAGGTGAGGATGGGTACAAGAATGGGGAAGGAAGAAGATGAGGATTATGCAGACGGAGTTGTTCTTCAGAGGGCAGAATTATGCTGAAAATTAATATTTTTTCCCTCCCCAATGTGAACCATTTAATGGCTCTCCAGAAGATTTTATCATATATTTGGTAAACTGCCGTCTTAATTTAGATACTACTTTTGGGAAGTTTGACTTTCTTCAATGGGCTGGGCCTAGACTCCGGCCCGGCCCGATTTAGTGGAATAGGCCCGGCCCATTGGACTAAATATGAGTTTTTTGAAGTTTGCCCGTGTACGTGTTTTATTTTTGAGGGGTGTTTGTGCAAAATGCCTTCATTTTTTTTTTCCTTCCTTCTCCCTCCGTCATTGCCTTGCTTCTCTGTACTCCCTTGCAACTGGGGAGTTCTTCTTCCCGTTCGTCTCCCTGGCCCCCTTCGCCTTCTAATGACTGCTCCGAAGATCCTCGTATGTGGTGATGTACTCGGCCGTCTCAAGCAGCTCTTCAAGCGAGTTCAGTCGGTGCGGCACCGGTTGCCTTGTGGCCTTTTCTCCGGACGGATAGCGTATCTAGGGTTGGTCTTCTTTTCCGCCGTCGGCACCTGGTTGTGATTCCTCGTCTCTTGCAGGTCAATGCCTCGAACGGGCCGTTTGATGTCCTACTCTGCGTTGGGCAGTTCTTCCCGAACTCGCCCGACGGCCTCGAGGAGTTGTCTGACTACCTGGAAGGTCGGGCTCCGATACCCATCCCCACCTACTTCACTGGTGACTACGGCGTCGGATCGGCCAAGTTCCTCTCGGCCACCTCGCAACAGCATTCAGATAGGGGGTTCAAGACCGACGGCCTCAAGGTTTGCGACAACCTTTACTGGCTTAGAGGCAGTGGCGTGTTCCATTTGAAGGGTACCACTGATTGTCCTAACTACACCAGTCTCGTGCTATTCATTTGAAGAGTATTCTGTCTTTTTCTTGACTCCCCATTCAACGTCATCCCTTGCAGATTTGTATATAGCCTACCTATCAGGGAGATCTCAGTCGCAGAGCCTGGGTTTCGGGCTATACAGTGATGACGACATCGGCGCACTGCGAATGCTGGCTGAGGATGAACAAATTGTTGACATTTTCCTAACATATCCTTTGGCCTGTTTCTTTGCTGCCTCTGCTTCAATGGTTGGGTCGTATGCTGTTGTTATATTCACTCTTCCCTTTGCTATGCCCTTGATCTACGAACACTAATGAATGGCCCAGAGGAATTACAAATAAAGCTGACACATCCACTGCACCACAAGGAGTCTCTGATCCTGCATGCTGTGATCCCGCCATATCAGAGCTGGCTGCAGAGATCAAACCCCGGTGGGTGCATGAACGTTGATTGTGGGTGTTCATCAAGCTCTGTTTTAGTTTCTCACAACGAGAGTCTGATTTACTATTCATGTGAAAACTAGTCTACAGGTGTGGCCGTGTCATTCGTAGCAATCATCCCATTTCTGTAGCTTAAATCTCTGGCATAAAATCTGTGGTTCTTCCTAAAATTGGTGTTTCCACGGCTTGTGTGCTGGGATTTGGACCCAGCTTCAAGTGCTTACTGTCATTTTTCTGACCAAAAATTTTAATGTTTTATTTTGTGGTCAGATATCACTTTGCGGGCACTAAGTCTATATTTTATGCTCGCGAACCGTATCTAAATGACAAGGGCATGCATGTTACTCGCTTTGTGGGGCTTTCTGCTGTTGGGAACAAGGACAAACAGGTGTTATTTTCTTTGTGGCACAGCTTGATTTTTTCACTTGAAGGAAGCCGCATTTTTTTTCTTTGGAACCCTACACTTCTTTCTGCTATGCCTTCCATTCTATTTGAACATTTCATTTATTGGTGTATTTTATTTATTCACATTGGGTGGTTTTTTTTTACAATGTTATTTTTATTCTTTAAAGTTTCAGATACAGTTTTGAGGTAAGATCTGAGCCTTAGCCATCAATCAGTTCAAATTGGTGGGTGACGATGGTGATGATCTGAGAGAATTATGGAACGCAAATATTCAAGTCTTTTTAGATGCTCAACGAAATGAGGGATACTGCTATCCAAAAAGCAAATATTCAGGAAATTTAGCAGATGAATAAATCACAGTGGATGAATAAATTTATCCATTATTCAGTAATCATGAAACCATAGTTGTGATTTGTAAAAAATTCTGTTCATTGGGTAAAATCAAGGAAAGGTAGTGATGGTGCATCCTCAGGGCGGGTAAAAGATAATATCATCTTAAAAGGAATAGAAAGGAAAGTCTGCATCTATAACTTGTCAAAAATCAGAGAGAAGTTCATCAAGTTTTGATCTTGTGTATTCGTCAAGGAACTATCTTAAAATTTATTCACCATTGTCACTTTATGTAGGATTTGATTTGGCACCAGGCATTCAATAACTGATGGATGTTGCGTGTTCTTCCCAGAAATTCCTTCATGCAATTTCTCCAACACCAGCAAAAAGCATGTCGCCAGCTGATCTTCGTGCAAAGCCAATGGGTACTACATTGTCGCCGTACACAATTTCAGAAGGCAATGTTCCTATTAGCAAAGAAACTAAACGACCTGGGGATTCTGATGTTGACGCACAATTTTGGCGTTATGATGTCCCCCAGAAACGGCAGAGGCAGAGGGGTGCAGACGGTGAAAGATTATGCTTCAAGTTCACATCCACCGGTTCTTGTCCCAAGGAGACTGATTGTATCTTTAGGCACGACATGGATGCCAGGGAACATTACCTAAGGAATGTGTGTTTTGATTTCTTGAACAAGGGAAAATGTGAAAGGGGTCCAGATTGTAAATTCAGTCACAAATTATCTGAGGAAGGGGATCCGGTGAGAGCCCAGCGGTGAGTACTATTTTCTTTCCATGGTTCACTCTCTTTTAGCTTTTTTCTCTGTAGATCCGTGTTGGGCCACTATATTTTTCTCTGTATGTTATTTAACATTTTGATCGATATTTTATTTCAAATAAATCCAACTCCGAATCGACATATTTTATCTTATATATTTATCATCACCTCAAACGTCTCAATGAATTTTGATTTACCACCAGCAAATTAACCGTACTGATTGGTTGACTGCTAAACAGGCAGAGATCGGAGAAAAGCTGCTGGTTCTGTTTGTCAAGTCCGAATGTGGAGTCGCATCTCATTATATGTGTAGGTGAAAGTTACTATTGTGCACTAGCGAAGGGTCCGCTAGTGGATGATCATGTGCTGCTTCTTCCAATTGAGCATTGCCCTTATACTCTTTCCCTGTCATCAGAATCAGATGCTGAGTTAGAGGGTTTTAAGAAAGCACTCAAGATATTCTTCCATAAACAAGGCAAGGCAGTTATCTTCTATGAGTTTCTGTTTCGACGCAGTCCTCATGCCAATCTTCAGGTAGCCATGGCATCAGTCCTTCAATGTCATGTGTGTTCATAATCAATTTACATTAATCATGGAAGATATTTAGGTTTTCTGTGCTCTGCATCTTATTTTATTTCCTAATACTTCTCAGTTTTCTGGCAGTCTGGTGAGAAACATGCACCTTATATTTGGATGAACGGGGCTTATTGCTCAGAAAGCCTTCATAAATCATTCATCATTTTATCATTAATTATCTTTCCCAATGTTGACCAATAATGTTTAGGAATAGTCATATTACCGACAAGCTTATAAGGCACTCCTTAAAGGAGAAATGGAAAGCCCTCTGAGTGTTCTGCCGGGTAATATCTGGGAATATCCGGCCTTGTCGACTTTCTAGCAGGCGCCCATTGGAAGCAATGATGAGCTCGTGTTTTTTCTTACATACGACTTCCGGCATAGTTGATCCTTTCTTTAAGTTTTTATGTTTTTTATTTTATTTTATATTTTTATTGAAAATAGAGAGTGGGTAGGGTTTGACCCCCTGAACCTCAATTACTTGAAATTTGGTAGAGGACGAGGTTGATCCCATACAAATTCACAAAGAATTTCAATAACCCGAAGCTGATGGCAAATATCGGACGCCATCGTCAGACATGTAGTAGCATAGCTGAACTCCATGTAGATGCTGAATGAAATGGCCGATGGTGCTTTCCAAATTTATGGGATTAGATATGGGATTAAAGTCTTAAATCCTTGGTATCTGTTTACCTGACCTTCACTAATCATTTTAGTGAGCCTGCTGCACCATTACAGAATAAGAAATTATGCACCTAACCTTCTGTGATCTTCCAAGGGAACGGTTAGGTGGGGGAGTAAGTGAACATTTACACGGTCAAGATCAGTGTTTTGTCCCTCCATGACTATAAATTATAAATTATTTACGGTGTAGAGTTGGATTTATATTAATTCCCATCATCAGAGTTGCAAGGGCATTAAGCTCAACCAAAAAAAAAAAGAAAAAAAAGAAAGCCAAGCTAAGGTTGTTCTCCACCTGGTTTGCATCGTTCCATTGATGGATCCCTTGTTGGATTTCTTAGATTTATCTTGTGTTCAGTGGATGGATGAACAGCTTCGATTTTCTCAACAATTCCACGCAGGCTGTTCCGATTCCATTATCCAAAGCATCCAATGCCCAACGTGCTTTTGGGTTTGCTGCCAAGAAGCTTGGGTTTGATTATATTGTGATGAAACCAGGTAAGAACCTCGTCGGCATTCTCAGTAGGAAAGAGTGTGAGCTCTGATGGGCTTCCTGGCCTTGTATGAACCAGAAATAATCTTTTTTTTTTTTTTTTGGGCTTTATATTTTCTTTGGGCAGATAATGACCGTGGTTGTAGAGAATCTCTGAGGGAGCAGTTTGATGGGAAGTCGAATTTCTTCTACGTGGAGCTCCCGGATGGCACGACGTTGTCATATGCTGTGGAGGACGAGGAGAAATTCCCTGTGCAATTTGGGCGCGAGGTACCTTCGATTTTTACTCTCTGTGGCCATCGCTCATCTCCTAGCCCGGCTGGTTGGTTCCTCCTCGGTTGCTTAGGAGGTTATGGAAAAAGGAAGCCTGCAAATGGATGGTCTTGCACTATCTATCTAGGGTAAAACTGGGCCCTCACTCATCTCCTAGCCGGGCTGGTTCTTTCTGGGTTGCTTGGGAGTTTAGAGAGAAGAAAGCCTGCAAATGAATGGCCTTGCTCAATCTCTCTCTCTCTCTATCTATCTATCTATCTATCTGGGTTACCAACTTTCCAAGTCTAGAGCATTAAGAAGCTCATTCATGGCCTTCTCTGTTGCAGGTTCTAGCAGGGCTCTTGAATGTGGCCGACCGAGCCGACTGGAGGAACTGCAAGCTGGGCAAGGAGGAGGAGTCACGGATGGCAGAAGGTTTCCGGAAAGGGTTCGGAGAGTTCAATCCCACTCAGTGATCCCAACCACCATGATTTTTTTCCAGATTTGGCATTCAGATGGCCTTTAATGTGTGGCCAGAAGGAAGAGATAACCAGGCGAATGACAGCAATGTCGGGCTCTTAGAACTGTCATACCTGTCTTGCCCATCAAGGTATTGACTTCATAGAGAGAGAGAGAGAGAGAGAGAGAGAGAGAGAGAGAGAGAGATTTGGGCATCTACATGTAATGAAAAATGAAGTTTTGGGGTCATAAACAGGACCGGGTCATTTTCTCTCTCTAGACATGACTCTTTAGACCATGCAAGAATATTGAAGAATGAAGGACAACCACAACCGAGCATCAAATGGGGACCTCTTCTCCACCCCCCCGACAATGCAGTGCAAGAGAATGTAGAGAGAGAAAGAGTGAGATCACCCGAGGTGTTATCTGTCCTCTGGCGGCAATGTCGGGCTCTTAGAACACATGCTCTTGTTGTGGAGCTCCTTCAGCCTCGCCACGGGGTCGCACAGACCTGATGATGACCATAGACATGATTTCAGAACTTTCAAAAATAACACAACAACATGGTTTGAGTGCTTCATCAGCGATCTGAATAGGGATTTTGGTCCTTTTAGCTTCATTCTAATTGGAGGACGGTAATTCTTTAGGGTTTTTCTAAATCCCAGCTGACCCCATCCGAGGTCAGCGGAGTTGACCCTTTTAGAGAGAACATTATGATATAATGGCTAATGCTTCCTACACATTTCGATGTAAGAACAGTTGTGAACTACTAGAATTTGGGAAAAGTCCTCACACGCTATACACATTTCAAAATAGACCGGGTAATGTGAGTTTATCCGAGATATCAGATAACCAGTTAGAATCAGAATAGACCGGGTAATGTGAGTTTATCTGAGATAACCAAGCTATCAGAATTTGACTGAACGGGTCATGTAAGGCCCAATTAGGGACGAATTTGGACAAAGTTGTGTGTGTGTGTGTGTGTCAGAGAGAGAGAGAAAGAGAGAGAGAGAGAGAGCTATCACCCTGAAACGTGGACAAACTAGAATCCGGAATCAAGGCAAAGCGACCTTAGTTAATTCACGCCGGTCATCAATTCGGCCCCAATATTTTTAGTCACTCGATTAAGATTATGTGTGATAATTTTTCAGAGTATTATATTAGTATTTGTATAGTTACAGTAACGTATATTTAATGACAAAAAGACCCTCTGACAGGTGAAAGGGCATGGAGAGAGAAACGGAGAGAGAGGAAGATAAGAGAGGGTAGCTATTGGTTGTAGGTAACCTTTGGCATAAGGGTATGTATGTTTTCTTCTAATTGGGTAAAATGGTAATTATCTGTGTTAGAACAACTTAGCGACTAAATAGTTTCTCTGGTTTATAGAGACCAAAAAGGGGTAGTGACTAAGAGAAGGGCTTATCCAAAATTCATGTGGTTATGGGGTATTATAACGAAAATAATCCAAAGAATTTACTTATATTCTCTTCAATATTATATTTAAATTCTCATTTATTTTCCTCAACCCAAATGAGGCCATTTATATCATGAACTTTATATGCATAACTAAGAACATCTTCTCATAATTCGATACTATTTATGGCCTTCAACGTGTTGAAGGATGTGCATGAGACTCACCTGAGCACCGTGGGATGTCCCACACAGCAATAGATGTGGCCGTGCACCGAGGATCGCACATGGCCCGAACGTCTTCGTAATTGACGTCCATTGCCAGCATCCATGATCCAATGGTCACATCTTCATTATTGAACGTTCGCAGGCTACTCCGACAGGAAAAAACATTTAATTATGGAGTAAAGATAATTGTGTTCTAGGGATGATGAAACGAACAGAAATTTGAGTGCATGCAATGAAAGAAAACAATCAAGTCAAAATAAAATAGTCTTGATCCGATCATTGTAATATTTAGCTATTTTTTCAGTAAAAAAAAAGGAATTTATGTAGTTATTTGATGTTTACAAAAAAAAATTATGCGTTTACTAGGGAGCCGTATGATTTTTTTGGCTGATAATCACAAAAAATAAATAGAATAGTAAAGGAGAGCCAGGAACATGAATGAGAGTGAATGACCTGCCATTTCTCGCTTCTGACAATGCTGCTGCCACCTCAGCTGAGATAATATAGATAGGACCATAGGCGTGCATGAAATACTCATATCCAATTAAATGTCCTGAGCTTTCATACCTGTAATTCTTGTGGAATGAAGTGCATCAATAAGTTCATATTTCTAGGACAAAGTGGGCAATAATCATGTTTTTTTTCTTCTGAGATCAAAGATAAACCAGCCTACCATTTCATCTTTGGATCAGTAACGACTGGTCCTTTCTTCATACAGCCAATGTATGTCCTCGGATGAGAGCGCTCCTTAGCAAGAAGTGTTGCGAGTCGGTCTGATGAAGAAAGATCCATCGGTTGGAATAATAATACCAGAAGGTTATTTTCTTAAAATAGTCCTTTCTCATAAAAAACTTCGAGCTTACCAGGACGCAGGTATATGCCGTCGTCAGCTTTAATATAATATTCTGCTTCAAAAAGATCAAATGCAGCTTTAAAGAATGCCAACCTGAAAGATTTTTTGGGGCCGGGGGAAAACATATACTTCAAAGGGCCTATGGTTTGATACAAGATCAGAAAGAGATTGACAAATAGAGGGCTTTAGCTCGTACGTCTTGTAGGGTAGCCTGAGATACTGCTCTTCAACATCTATGAACAGGAAATCGTGGTATTTCTCTTCCTCCCTTTGGAGTTCTTCCATTTTCTTCACATCTTTTGTGCGCCCAATGACAAATCTAAAAGCAAGTCCCGTGGATTGCTCCAACCTACAACAAGGCCATTGCATGAACTACCTTGGATCAGTCAGAGATAAGAAAAAAACATTAATGGAGAGATTGAGGAAGAAAAAGTTTAGACAATGATTTATGGGCATACATTCTCCTATGATTTCCATATCAGTCTTCCTGTGCTCTATGAATCTTCCTTGGTTTCATACTGATTGCGTTGTATGCCCATCAATAAGGCTTCAACATTCTCCTATGAAACCAAAGGACATTCATAGAGAACAACAACCTAGGCGAAGATCAAGAAGAAAACTCGAAGCGGGGAAATCAAGTTCAGCATGTAGATCTCAGAGAGCTGCCCGTCACATAATCATCGCCAATTTCTTGGCAAGCTCGTATTTGCTTAAATAAGATAGTTAGAAAAAAAATGATCACTTGCTGCCATATTCTTTATGGTAAGCCACAGGGAAACATTATCTGAGAGAATCTGACGAGGAGATATCTATCTGAAATTTTACAAATAAAGTTCGTGATTACATGGAGTAACTTCATCTCCATGAGGATTCTCCTAGTGTCTTTAAGGAATTTTTTTTGGGGGACTGCAAGGCAACGGAACAAAGATCACAAGTCTCTCTTTTCATTTCACAGAGAGCATCAATAGATTCATCTCAGGAACAACTATATTTTTGGTAAGTGTGACCTCTCGACACCATAGACATCTGCTCATAATCTCGACGCATTTTCCATAGGTCTCTTGAATTCGTATAGTTTCGAAGTTAACATGTTCCGTAATCTCAGTATTTCGTGATGGAAACCTTAAACAGAGAAGTAAATCTCAATTCAGCATGAAACAGGGCTTCGAAACAGCAATTCGAGTCGACGGAAGAAGAGGCGACGAATCTAACCGTAGCAGCGTATCCGAATTCGACGGGAACCAGGTACTACGCAGAGCAGCGCGCCGGCCAGCCGAGGAGAATCCGGTCTGCACACCGACGAGTCCGACGAGCTTGGGCCGCGGCACGACCAGTCTGGCCTCGTCGCCGTCCCCGAGTAACTTGGATCTGAATGTCCTCAGCGTGTCCTCCGCTCCCCCGCATCGGAACACAGACACGGTTCTGGGAGGCCTGAGTAGCGCGTACGCCGCGAAAGCCAGCCCGCAGATGCCGACGGCGAAGGAGATGACGGAGAAGATCATGGCGAGGGAGACCCCGCGCTGCGCCGACGCAGGTACCCACGCCCTGGACTTCTTCCCCTTGTCATCCTTGGAGTAGGGGAAGATGCTCGACGCCGGCTGTGGCATTTCCCCCCACCTCCCGCCGGTGATCTATGCCATTCTACTACTACCACGAGAGAGAGAGAGAGAGAGAGAGAGAGAGAGAGAGAGAGAGAGAGAGAGAGAGAGATCTCTAAGTTTCGGCCAGCACAAGGTTGTTGGGACGCTGATAACCTAGCCAACCCAGGTTGGCGGGCCGGGGTGGGGGCGGTCGATTGTGACCGTTCATCCTCCACTTGCCTTTCTCAGCTCGAATACCGGATCAAGGTCGGATGATCATCACTTCCCCCACGTGGTCCGTTATGCATTAATGTCAATCAACTTTGCCATAATTTCTTCTAAAAGGCTTAAACACAAGAGGGCCAAAAGCCCAAAAGCCCGGTACAAATGGGTCAAGCCCCAGCCCGGAGCCCACCGTTTAGGCCTATACTTAATACCGATCACACCTTGGTTCAGATCTCAAGGAAGAGAACAGAATTGGGGTGGGCAACGCTCTTTAAGTGACCACACCCTAGAAGCCCGAAAAAAGTCAGCCGGGCCCGAGCCCGGAGCCGCGGCAGAAGAACACCGCGATCATCGGCTAATAGTACCAAATGACTGGAAAAAGGATAGTATTGAGGAGCTTAAAATTCCCATGTCGCTCTCTCTCTCTCTCTCTTTCTCTCTTTCTCTGTGGCTTGAGTAGAGAGAAGCGCACCCAGGTGGGCTCCGCAGATGCTTACAAGTCAACGGCAAACTCAAGCAGCAGGGACTTTCCTCCCATCCTCGATGAAGAAGATCGCGGTCTCAGGCACCTGGAATCAGAGACAACACGACGGAGGCAGTTACTCTGGCAAATATCCGCAAGAAATGAAGAAAATAATGTCAACCATCCACGTTTGAATATGATCTTGGTTTTCCCTCCATAAATTCATCCATAAGTAGGCCTTTCTTCACGAAAAATAAAGAAAATATGTATCATATTTGACTATGATTCAAAAATCTTACATGAATGTGCAGAAAATATGTATTTTTTCAAGCCGTGAATAGATCAAACATCATGATTTGAATAATGAAAATCATTTTTCATCCACATTGAAATAAAATATTATTATTTTCTATCACGGTTTTGATCACAAGAAGGCGAGGAACACATGAGGATTGAGGAAAAATAAATATCTTTTTTTCCATTCATCGGTAACACATGAAACATCCGCACTTTCATATGATTTCATTTTTCCCATAAAAGTCTTCATCAGGTTCGTCAGATCGGGTTCATAAAAGCCGAAATGAGGGCAGTCTAAGAACACAGAAAAACCCAAGAAGAAGAAGACCATCTATAGTTCTGAGAATAAAATTGCACTAATTTTCAGTGACAACGGACTGAGCAAGTCCTCTCTCTCTCTCTCTCTAGGCTAGGCGTAACCCATTTTATTGGGTTTTCTTCATGCAACCAGACTTCAATTGGATCGACTCTAGGGGTGCCAGAGCCCCTTTTCTCTACCCAATGGACCGTCTCATAAATCCATTTTGTCATAGTCAAATATGGCAAGTATTTCTATGAAATAAATTAAAGGTAATTAACTGGCACAGAAAAGAATAATCCACCATAGAAAAATGAAGGACAGATCAATAGAGGGAGGGCAGGATTTCGTAGAGAAACTAACCCCTGGCCAAGAGTCTGTGATGAACTCGACAATGTCAAAGGAGATGTCGCCCTGGACATCGATCTGCTCTTTCTCAGTGGGGCCCTGAAACGAACCAGAAGCCAAGGTTGAGTACATAGAGACTCAGGATTCTCCCTTTTGTTTCTCGAGGAAGAGTTCGACAGCACCTTTACTACAGAAGCTCCGGTGGCAAACCTCTTCCCCAGTTTCTTCGAAGCGTCGCTCAGTTTGATACCTGAAGGCGCATCAGCCACGTCCAGATCGTTGAATCATACGAAGAATCACAATAAAACACCGTACCCAGATTAGAAAAAGGGAGGGAGATAGATGCTCACCAAAAAGCTCCAGGCCTTTCACAACAGTCACACATTTACGCTTATTCCGAACAATCTTCTCTATGACAACTTCTTGCTTCTCCTGAAATGATTGAGAAATTGGTGGAGAATAATGCACTGAAGGATATAAAGATTGATGAATCAATCTGCATTTTCCTAGAGACCTTCTAAGATAACACAACATTTGCATAAGTATTCATAAGCATTCCTAGAGATATGCTGGTTATCGTTATAAACTGATTCTGTTAGGCCATGTAATATATGCAGCCTAAGCATCTTTCTACAAGAAAAAATTCTCCAACATTCAATCTTTCATCTGCTCGGTTTCTTCCACCACGTAATGAGAACTTGGTATTAGGTAAGCAGCAGATCACAAGGCCTTTCTTTTTCTTTATTAGTAATAAAAGCCTTACACTGCACTCTAGAATGATCGGTTAAGGAAAATATAATCAAAATGTATGGCTAACCCAAGGAGACGGGCATATCTCCCTAGGGAAACTTGTTGGTAGGATGATAAAATCTAAGTTTCCTACAATCAATGTTGCTTATGTTTGAGGAGCACAGCAACCCAGTCGCAGTACTTCTTTGTCTCACAAACTGCCATGGTGTAGAGCATATAATATAATAAAATATGTCCACTAAAAGAACACTGGAGACAGTAGGGCCGGTATGAAATCGTAGCAGAATGAGAAAAAGACGAAGACAGCCATACCTTCTTCTTTATTTTACCACCTGGGAGACGTTTAATCTCTTCTGGCTTTGGTGTTGATGGACCACCTGTACATAAGGAGGAGGAACTAGGACTTGCCACATGTAGGAAAAAATATGTTCGCAGGGTGGAAATATTTGAAGAAAATATGTGCAGGATGGAAACAGAGGGCTCCAAGAATTAAAACCGCCAGAAATCATGCGAATAAATGATACCCCTAGACATCAAAATACAGAAGAAAATATTGAACTTCAAGACTGAGATTTCTTTCTTCAGAAAAAGCTTCTCTAGTGAACATCAAACAAGAGCAAGCAACCTTGGCTTTGTGGGATCAATCCAACGTGAACTGACTCACATAACCTGGATCAATTGAGGGCCATCATGCATAACGGGATTGTTTCAATGTTTAGTGACAATCAATTGAACGACAATTCACAATGCAGCCAGATCATTAAATTTCACAGCAAGTGATGAAACAAAAATTCCTTGAACATATTTTTGTGCCGAAGTTAAGGACTTGCAGAATTTGCATCATGAAGGAACACTTCATTCATTTCCTCCTCTGGAGCATTGGACAACCATTCAGGAGACCAATCATGCCGTTAGCTGGTCATTAAATTTTAAGACAGAATTACTGATCAAAAACGTCTTGCAACATATTATGCATGTGTGTGTATATACTACTGTTAAAGTCACGATACACCAGAACCACTTTTCAGCTAGACCAGCATGCACATAATATAGACATCTTAAATGAAAACAAGGCTGCAACCGCATGTTCAGGACCATAACATTGGGCATAATGGAAAGACTTCTCTACGTTCGTCAGGACAGAAAAGGGTCATTCCACTGATTGTTTGGCAGGATTCTAAGTAATCAGTAGCTAGCGATGAGGCCTAACTATATCTCATATTTCACCAGATCATTAAGAGATTCATGCAGAGCTTGGGATGCATGTCTGGCTCATGCCATCGATTGATCCAGCACTACTTGTACAACCATGTAGTCCTGCAGCTTAGCCATCCCATGTCAAGCATGATCACTTCCTTGTCTGTTCAATCAAGAGTTTCAAGTTAAAGGAACCACCCTTTCCTTGATGCCAACAAACTTTAGAAGAAATGTCCATTGCCCTCAGAAAGCAGGTCAGTAAAACAGTACCCAATTTACAAAAGCAATTGGTGGAGGAACCAAGGCGACATTGTGCATTCCACGTCATAGACACTCAACACAGTAGCCCAACCTGACATAACTAGATAAAAATTCCATTCTCAGTCTCCAACGAGCTCAGTCCCTCATAATATGCAATTTCTCACTAAGCTATAATCCCCCCAATAAACCCCCAAGAACCTTCGCAGGAGACCTCAATGGTAGGTTTTCTTCCTCAACTCATAGGACTCGTATCATCTCGCTAATGTCACAGGGAGGTTGCATGAAAATAAGTTTATGCGGTTCAACTGGTCCAGATAACCCGTTCACATAATTTCGGACATCGACATGCAGGGCATGTCCACCCTCGTTATAAAACTAAAATCGGAATAGAAGCCAAGATCGCTTTTAGTCCGGGGATGTATTTCTGAGTTACATTAAACTATTAAATTTCCGTCCATAAGAATTATGATAGTTGTTTTTATTATGAAAGGGAATCATATGAGCCTCTTATAGAGCTGAGAATCTATTTAATTATACTGTGAGCACGTTGAAACTCAGAAGCCAGTCTAAAATTAAAGAACAAAAAACCCTAACGTTCATAGGAAAGTACGGAAGAAAAAACGCAGACAGCCCGATTATTCAAATTATTTACCTGCAGAATCAACAGAACCCACAACACCAACGCCGGAACTAGTACCAGAGATATTCGTCGACTGCAACTTCTCAGCGGCCTTCTCTAATTCCCTCTCGCTGGCCTCTGTGACGCGTGATCAGCGTCGAAAATGCACGGAACCCTTTACGAACGGATGAAGGACGACCAGTATGGTCGGGGATGCTAACCTTTCGTGATATCGGGGTAGACATCGGGGGCGTTCTCGACGAGCCACGGCTTGCATTTCTCAAAATCGGGGCTGAACTCGCAGTACTCCGCAGGCATGCTGCATATCTGGCAATAGAGAACGCGAACGGGAAGCGGCTTCTCCGCCATTACGCAGAGAAATCCCCCTCTCCGATCCCTCCGCCGGCGCTAGGTATCAGAAGAGACTACCAGGCCTCCTCCCGCCTTTCCCTCCCCCTAAAAGCTGCTCCCCCCTCGCTAAACACCGTTACTCACGGTTACGTATATATGTAGCCACGGATCTCAACGGGCCCCGGTTTTCCCAGGCCTGGCCCGGTCTTGCTCTGCTAGGAGCAGTTACAGGCCGGGTTTAACTCGTGCAGGCCCGGAAAGGACAGGCCCGGCCTGTCGACTCCACAGACGATGACTCGGCTTTTCTGGCGGAAACTCGGACAAATGACTCAGTATACTGCTCCGAGATAATGGGCCGATGGTTTAAGTTGGCAAGGCCTGGACCGGAGTAGCCCGGCCCATCGACACCACAAACGGTGACTCTGGCAGCAACTAGGACCAATGACAGTATCCTGCTCCGAGTCCATTAATGGCCCGATGGTCTAAGTTGGCAAGGCCGGGCTGGAGCGGCCCGGCCCATCGACGGTGACTCGGCTTTTCTGGCAGCAACTCGGACCAATGACTCGGTATACAAAGGTATGGACCATTTATTGGGTTTCGAATCCTTATGGATCGGTTTCTTCCAACGGTCATTCGAGGGTAAAACCCTAGCCTAATCGCCATCCTAAAACCCTCCTGAGGGCATCGGAGCTGAAAACCTTTATCGTTCCCTCCTCGTCGCTCTCTTGAGTCGGTCCCTGTCTCTCTCTGACATTCTCTCTCTCTCTCTCACTCACTCACTCTGTGTCTCTGTCTCTCTCTCTCGCTAGACATGCATCGCGCAGTTGCTGCTGCTGCGTCAATTGCGAGGTGAACACCTGCCTTCTCCCACTTTTTCCCTACATCTTGGTCAATTCCAGTTACTGCCTTTCGTCTGCATCCGATGTCTTGTTTGATTCCGATTAATAATCTTCTCTTGTTTGACGATTTCCCTTCGTCTCCGTCTCTGCAGAGGCTCAACGCGGAAGAAGGTGAAATCGACCTCCGTCTGTTGCGACCCATTTAACACTATTCTTTTCAATTTGAATGACATTTCCACGCTGAATCGTCTCTCGCTCTATGGAACGGATATTTATGTTCATTCGGATGTGCGAAGATTTGGAGCAGGATCATCTCAAGCAGAGGCTATGCCGCGAAGGATATCAATTTCGGAACCAATGCTCGTGCGGCGATGCTGCAGGGCGTCAACGAGCTCGCAGAAGCTGTCAAGGTCACGATGGGACCCAAGGTGCCACCTAACTTCATCTTTCCTTTCCTCGTAGACTGGTATAAAACGACGAAGATTTGAATGTGCTTAGAGATGAGCACAAAATAAGGTGTCGTGCTTTGATTGAGTCGCAGAAGGGATTATAATGCACGCTTTTATGGTGGTTAACTGCTGAAGCCAACAGTCCTGATGCTGGAAATGCAGTCAGAAGCAGAATTCCCTGGCCGACTTAGAGGCATCGATTTTTTTATGTTTCTGTGAAAGGGAGTATGATGTAGGAATGTCTTTCTGATCGGTATGTGTGTTTCAGGGCCAATACGTCGAATATTGCACGCAGGATCTAGGAAGGGTATATACAAGTAGATGTACTACTTGGGCTGACATTCTTGTGTGTGGCATTTTGAGGCTGCCGATAAAAAATCTGAAAAATGAAAAGATGATAGAGTTATAATGTTTCTATTGGTTATCTAATCTCTCGTCATGATCCATCAAGAGTAAATTTTTTCTCTTTTTTGTTTGCAGGGCCGTAATGTCATTATTGAGAGAAGTCATGGTGATCCTAAAGTCACAAAAGATGGTGTAACTGTTGCAAAAAGTGTTGAATTTAAGGACAAGGCCAAGAATGTCGGTGCAAGCCTTGTAAAACAGGTTGCAAATGCTACGAATACTGCAGCTGGAGATGGTAATTATCTAATCTATTGCTTATTACGTCATGGAAATTCCTCACTCTATTTTGAATTCGATTAAACCGTGCACTGGATCTATCTGTATCTATTTTGAATTACTGTATACTTCAGTTCATATCTTTGCATAATTTTTAATTTTACTTTGTCTTTACATATTTAGGCAATTGTGGTCATTTTCACTAGGACTGTTAGAATTTTCAAATTCCTACCATGTGAGTGTAATGATCTCCTACTATTTTTATCTTAGTTATGATAACAAATACCTCTGGTCTCTTTATTAATTTAATGCATAATGAACTTAGTTGACCATTATTGGACATGTGAAAGAAGTATGAATCCCCCCATGTATTTCTCCTTTTAGATAAGTATGCCAATGACCTTTAATTTGGATCGTGCAGCAAGAAATATGATAGCGTCACTACTTTTTCACGTTATTTATGTCATAGTTTGTTATTATATCTGCAGGTACAACCTGTGCTACAGTCCTTACGCAGGCAATTCTGACTGAAGGCTGTAAGTCAGTGGCAGCTGGAATTAATGTCATGGACTTGCGCTATGGTATTAACAAGGCTGTAGATGCTGTCGTTTCTCACTTGAAAAGCAGGGCATTGAGGATCAGCACACCAGAAGAAATCTGTCAGGTTTTGTCTTAGCTAAGTCGTAAATGTCAAAGAGCTCTAATGCCTTACGTGTCGATAGTGGCGTTCATTGTTAGGATTTTTAATATCTCCTCAGTAATTGAATGGTAAAGTAGGCTGATTTTAACAGGTTGCAACCATCTCTGCCAATAATGAAAGGGAAATTGGTGAACTAATTGCGAGGGCTATGGAAAAAGTTGGGAAGGAAGGGGTCATTACAGTTTCTGTGAGTTCATTTAAATTTAGTGAAGTTCTCAGTAACTTATGCAGTACAGCAGCATTTCACTTTCTATGATCTTGCATGCTCATTTTATGTGTAAAATTTTCAGGATGGAAAAACTTTGTACAATGAGCTTGAAGTTGTCGAGGGTATGAAATTATCTCGTGGTTATATATCTCCATATTTTGTCACTGATCTGAAGACCCAAAGATGTGTAAGTCTTAATGATTTGGTCAGGCAGATATGGTTCATCAAATAAATCCGAAGATGTGCTTATCAGCGATTATTTTAACCCTGTCGTAATGTAGGTTTATTGAATTGCTAGCTTGAGTCGTAAGCTGTAAAATCTTTTCTATCATGCGACTTCACATACAAAGACAATTTTTTGCAGCTTTATAAATGTTACTTTCTTGATCTGTGATATCAAGTGCCATTATATATTTCATCTTTACATGTAGACAGGAACTAGAAAATCCATTGATCCTAATCCACGATAAGAAAATCTCAAGTTTGGAAAACATGGTTGGAATATTGGAACTTGCTATCAAGGTAATTTCCTATTCAATTTAATCTTATAAAATCATGATGGATATCTCTTCCCAGAAAGTTGCAGTTGACGATTTGACCGATTTTATTTTGTTCACAGAACAATAGGCCTCTTCTAATTGTGGCTGAGGATTTAGAGAGTAATATTCTTGCTTTACTCATCCTTAATAAGCATCGTGCTGGACTTAAGGTAATGCATCACTGAATCCTGCTTTGAACTTGAGTTTTGAGACAGCTGGTTTGGTGCACCTCTTGTTTAGAGGTGATCAGTGATTTTCTTGAGACGTGAAATATCTACCACTGATGTCGGCATTGCACATGTTACAATTTCAGTCATTGATTGGATGATGGATGTTTGCAATTCAACCTTGTTTAGGTTTGTGCCGTCAAAGCTCCTGGTTTTGGGGAGAACAGGACAGCAAATTTGGAGGATCTTGCCATTCTAACTGGGGGAGAGGTCAGATACCCGTAATCAAAGAAGAGTAGCCTTCACTACTGGCCGAAATACTTCCATTTCTTTCTGGTTTTCTCGTTACTCAATCGAGAAATTTTTATTCAGAACTTTGGAACATCCAACTTCTTTTTACTACACAGGTAATCTCAGAAGATCGTGGATTGACTCTGGAAAAAGTAAACCCGGAGATGCTTGGTACAGCCAGAAAGGTTAGATTTTCATTGAAGTGCCTTAAATGTTATTCTGTTTTATCTGTTCTTTCAGGTATGAGGATGACGGTTCTGTTCATAAATAGGTCACAATCTCTCTGGATGATACCATTTTACTGCACGGTGGTGGTGACAAAAGGCTAATTGAAGAGAGGTGTGAGCAGGTACACGATTTGCTTCTCTCCCAATAATGGGCCATTCTGAATCACCTCTAGCTGAAAGTCTTGCGCAAATTTTTCCTTCTTTGACTTGAAACCAGTGGAAGGAGCATATAACCACGCTTTGTCCCATCTGCCAAAGAGATGATAACTGCAGAAAGCATCCCAATGAATTTAACCCGCAGGACAGCCATGGATTGAAGGAGACCAGTTGGGATTATAATTTGTGTGCATTGAATCACTGGTTCACTTTGAAATGATTCATAACATCTGTTTCAATAATGTTAAGTATGATCAGAAAAGGCCTAATATTTCCTTTTAAGGATATAAAAAGAAAATTAATGAAAACAGGGAGACTGATGTTGAAACCTGTTAGAGTTACTATCTTTATGTTCATAGTTTTATCTTTTATAATACCTAATGTGGGACTATTCTTGGCAAAACCTTCAACAGTTGCGGTCGTCCATTGAGAAAAGCACAGCCCTGTTTGATAAGGAGAAAGCACAGGAACGATTGTCGAAGCTATCTGGTGGAGTTGCTGTCATCAAGGTTCGATCCATTTTTTATCATCTCATCCGAGGAAATGTGCCTGCATGCCGGCATATCAATCATCTTATTTCTCTTTATGGCAATACCAGATCGGTGGTGCTAGTGAGGCGGAAGTAGGTGAGAGAAAAGACAGGGTCACAGATGCCTTGAACGCTGCAAGAGCGGCCGTGGAAGAGGGGATTTTGCCAGGTAATCTAGTTATTTGCATTTCTGGTTCTATCTATTCTGTTCACTGATATGACTCGTACTTGCAGGGGGTGGTGTTGCTCTTCTTTATGCTGCTAGAGAGCTAGAGAAGATTCAAACAGCTAACAGTGACGAGAAGAGAGGAGTTCAGATTGTTCAAACCGCTCTAAAGGTGGGTCTCTAGGTTTTAATCATCTTTGCAAAAAATTAATTAAATTCTTCAAAAAAAAATGAAATATTTTCCGTCAGGCACCTTCGTTCACAATCGCTGCAAATGCTGGTGCTGATGCTTCTCTAGTTGTTGGAAAGCTATTGGAGCAGGATGATCTTAATCTGGGTTATGATGCAGCAGAAGGTTTGTCTCAGTGTTCTACTTGCGAATTATTAAGCGTTGACTTTGGGATTTCCATTTTTGACGAACTTTTAGCTGTTAATTAAACATTTAATTAATGCCCAATGAAGATAAAATAGTGAAAATCCAGGGGGTCAGCTTTCTGCTTTCCATTTCTGATAAACTCCAGGGATGAATTTTTATTTTTATTTTTACCACATCTGATCAATCTCACCTGAAGATTTTTCGGAAAAAATGGAGGTTTAATTATTTTTCTGGCATTCTTGCCTGAGCAATGGAAAGAAAATCTCTTACTCTGAGGAGGTTTTTTTCTCAGTATACTGCACTATGAAGCTGGTTTTTTATTTTTATTTTTATCGTATATATCAAGAAAGAATATCCACGTGGAAATGCATCACCGATGTTTCATGGCGTAATTAGGTGAATACGTTGACATGGTGAAGGCCGGCATAATAGATCCCCTGAAAGTCATCCGAACTGCTCTTGTTGATGCCGCCAGGTAGGCCATCATTTTTGGAAATATTTTTATATTACGCGGATGGACTGCAGTGTCTCCTGAGCTCGTTGACTTTGAATGGACTGCAGTGTCGCCTTATTGTTGACGACGACTGAAGTGGTTGTGGTTGACCTCGAGGATGCGAAGAGCAGCCTGCCGGCGCCTCGAATGCCGCAAATGGATGGCATGGGGTTCTAATTGCCAGTATTATGAGGAATAAGAATGGTGTTCTTAGGCCCCTATTCATGGGGTCAACGGGGTCTTATCTTCTTGTTTAGATGCCGATTAAGTCTAAGTGTAGCTACTTGTAGTGTCTGCCTTTGGTCCCATCGTTGGCGGCCGATGGCGGCCGGCGGCAGCTTCCGGTGAGTTTGCCTTTCTTTTCTCCCTTCCTCTCAGCTTTGCGTGCTGTTGTTCTCATCTCTGCGGATTTGGAACGGGTGTTAGTGTGCCGGCCTGACCGGGCCCTGCTCGCAAACCATCTGGGCGTTGACTCAGGTCTAGCCAGGCCGGCTCAGATCAGTTCACGTCACCACCAACCCCCACGTTGTAATGGGGGCCCAGCATAGCGCGATTGTCGGTCAGTCGAGATGGCATGTTGGGCGGTGTTTGTTTGGAGGAGGTAATGGGAGTGAGGGCGAGATGTGGGACCCACATTGCGTCCTCCATTATCTCTATTCCTTTTCCATCCCTCGTGCTTTGACTTTTCTCGACCATCCCGTTTCCTTCGATGACCAGACGAACTTCCTCACCTCCTCACCCCTTCCCATCTCTCTTCCTGCTCTCTCGATTCCTTTATACCATCCCATTTCGTTTGAAGTCCGGACAAGGATTCCAAGGGGAAAACGGGGTGCTCCACATCTGGTGTGGATGAGAGAGAGAGAGAGGATTCTCCACAGCTTCTGAGAATAGATGGACGGAGGGTTATCCGGCCAGCCGAGCTGCTACGCGGGCACTTCCGGGCAGGGCCAGTTCGATCTTTACGGGGGTTCCTTCTGCGACCAGACTGGGTAAATCAGGCGGGGGAGAAGATCAGCCCCCTTCTTCCAAGTTCTTCGAGTTCTTGCCGTTGAGATTGCGGTTGTTGATTTCTCCTCTGAAGCAGCTTGCCGGGGTTCGACTTCAAGGATGGGCTGGGCTGCCTGGGGGTGGACGATTCGTCGATGAGCTCCGGAGCTTCCGGTTTGACCCGGCCGCAGTTCTACCAGGTATGCCTCTCTCTCTCTCTTCTTCTGAAAAATTTTGCCCGTCGATAGCTTCTGGGTTTTCGATCTTCACTGCTGTTTCTCTCTCTAACAGGCCGCGGAGTTCGGCGGGGGGATCGAATTGGGGATGCCCTCAGGAAGCACCAATGTACTGGAACAGAAGCCTTTTTCGATCCCTCTCTCTCTCTCTCTATCTCTCTACCTCTCCGCTGTGGGGCTGAAATCGCTGATGGGGCCGGCTGTTTCTGCAGGTAACGGCGCAGACGGGGGTCAAGAGCATGATGATCGCCGGAGAATTCGTCCAGCAGTCCCCGCTGGGGGAGTTCTTCCAACCCGATCAGAACCTGCGGTCCCTCTCGTCGTCGTCGATGAGGTCTCTCTCAGTGGGTAGCCCGGCTTCTGTGGAGCAGGTGGCCCACCGGGTGACTATCCTGGCCTACGACCAGTTCCGGGGAGTCCAATTTCCGACGCCCACAGACGACGACGCTGCCATGGCTAGGGCAATGCTGGCGGTGATGTCGTCGTCTTCCTCTTCCTCCTCTCCCCGTCTTTCTGCAACGAGCAGAGCCTGGCATGACCGGGGGAGAAGTCGAGGAGGAGGAGGAGCCTTCATTCCCTACGATCCCACCGCCCCAGCCGTCGCCGGAGTGGAAGCCAGGAAGCTCTCGCCGGGGCAGGAGATGATGAAGAGGAGCTTCTCTATCTTGCGGGGGATCAGCCCCATGAGCGGCGGCGATGCCCGGTTGCAGGAATCCCGGCCGACGACCA